TTTATAAAAGTGTAGAATTAATTTTAAATGGTTTATTTTTATTTTTATTTTATTTATAATAAATTATTTTAATACACTTTTAAATATACGTATTAAAAATAAATACCACTTTATTAATTAAATATTATAAAATATATAAAAAATTAACTTTTTATATATTAAAAATGTTTTATACGTAAGGTTATAATTAAATAACTTTAAATATATATTTAATAAATATAAATAAATATTTATTAATTAATTTAATTTTAATTTAATTTATATAATTAAAAATAATTAAAAAGTTTTATATTTTATAAAATATTAATTATTTAAATAATTATAATAATTATAAATAAACGGTTTTATACGTTTTAACGTTAAATAAAAAATAATATAAGTATAATTTTAATTATATTTTTAAATGTTAAATATAATAAATAATACTTAAATATTTATAAATATTATTAAATATTTAAAAATCGGATATTTATATTAATTTAAACTTAATAAGTATTTAAAAATTTAATATTAATATTTATAAATTAAGTAAATATTTAATATTAATCTTATAACCCTGTTTATACGGGTTAATTAAACCCGTGTTGGTTTTATTATTATAATCCGTTGATTTCATTCACGAACCGACCGCTTTAAAACCCCGAGACAGTGGATATAAACTAATACACGCACTAAACCGGAGATATAAACGCCCGAAACAGGGAAATACAAATCTCATTAGCTGTCTTGTCTCTCTCGGCCGTTATAAACGCCTATCATCCTCGTTATAACTTCCTTCTCGGAACTCATCTCGTCCATAGATCCCTACTAGATAACTAACTATACGTCGACATCGCTGATGGGACTAGGGGGAACACCATAGATGGCCCACTGGACAGTCTCATCTCCACATTGAGTGACACCAGTAACTCCAACTTTGCCATCCTTTTCAAACTGGGCGATGCTATCTTGGATCAGGTCGGCGACGTCGTCACCTCCCATGTAGAAACTCCCCCTGCTTTTGGGCTTTAGTCCGAACCCGCAGCCGCCTTCGGACTTTAAAGTGTTCCAGATGTCGTCCTTCAGGCCGTTCAGGAAGTATCCACCTGTCCGCTGACGCATGTACTTGACGATAGCACTGCAGTCGGCAGCCGATGGCGACCCGTCACTGACTTGGACATCCCATGTAGTTCCGCCACACTTGTTGGTGTACTGTTCGCCATCAAGCCATTTGCTTCCTGCCACCTGGGATACCAGGATAGCAAAGCTACTGAGTTGGAGCAATCGCATATTCGTAATCTGTTTTCTTTATCGATTTTACAGTATGTTGATACAATCCCATCGAAGTGGCTTATGAGACGGAAGTCCAGGAACTCTTGTATCACCCCGGCGAGTCATACTCTCACGCCACTGGCCACGAGGGAAGAAAGGGGCCGCACCTGGAATGCCATCAGAATGGACATAGGCACTGCTTACATTCCCACGTGAGGCTATTCCAAGGGGGCCTACCTTTGAGGGGTTCCTGTGAATTCCACTTCTCTGATGCAGTACGACAATGAAGTACAACAAAGAATAGTCGAATTTAATCGAGCGTCTTTGATGCATGTGCACTGTCTTTGCCTCGATCGGCCCGCAGTTGAGCCTATTGGCTCTACCAATGAGTGGTGACTGCAAGATCTTTGCCGAAATCAGCTGAGGCCTTGGGCGCGCTGTCCCCGGTGGAATATGGTCTCTGGCCTTTGACCCGCCTTACCTGCATATCTCATGGCCGCAAACAGATGTGTAGCTCTTACTAGAACAAGTCTTCTAACATTAACAAGTATGAGCTGCATCGTATCAAAGTTCTCATCTCCCGCTCAAGTACTGAATGGACCCTGCTTCCTATCCGTAGTAGTTGTCGTCTGGTAGGTGGCATCTGACTACACAAATTTGTATCCACTGCACGCTACGTCACCAAGTGCGGACAGCAAGATTTTGATGAACTTTGAACTTGAATTTGGCATTGTGCCATATAGATTGTCCCTGCTACAAGAAATGTCACGAACAGCAACTCACTAGTTTATGCTCGCGCGAATTGGTAGGTTTTACGGGACCTGAATGCGTAGCAGAAACAAACACCCAACGCAATGCGCATGCTTGATGCACCACTATTGGTTCTGCAGTGCAAACTTGATGAATTCTTGTCGCCCCTGAATCCTCGCAATGTCCTCGTGACCGGCGCGTACGGCAGCTTCGTACGATCTTCGGTAGACGCTTAGGTTCTGGCTAAACAAAGGTCGTCGGTCTGTCCAACCCGTCACGTCCCGGATCTTGTCACTTCCCACCCACTGGCTGAATCCAAGGAGGGGTAACAAGGCCGGAGCCATCGACGGGTTGCCACTATTCTCAGACCCCGCGACAAACTCTGCGCCAGAACTCAGTCCATACTCCCTCGCCAATGCTTCAGCAACAGCTTCTGCTGTTTCATATTCACTTGCGGATATGTTGAAACACTGTCCGAAAACAGCGGCCCTGTCACCGTGCTCAGCAAGAGCGACATAGGCTTCAGCACAGTCGTCCACGTGCACTAAGCGATCCAATGTCAGCACTCGATCGTGATTTGGCAACGAGGTTTCAGGTTGATCCAACGAGCGAGTAGGATATCAAGTGTCTCCGTACGGCGCCACAGCTCACCCTGAAGGCAGTCGACGAACTACGGAAGCCTTTTGACTTACTGGCATGCATGATGCTCCTGGGATCTACGTCCGCAATTCGCAAGGACTTGGCGCCATTGGCAACCACCTTAGCAGCGTACTCGAATATGACCCCATAGTAACTACTGCTGTAGCCGAATACGTTGGTCGGACGTAAGACTGTCGCATCAAAAAGGTCCGTCTGTTCCAGAACCTTGAGAGAGTACGTAGCCCTGGCGCTGAGAACAGCCGGGGTATTCAGGGGTGAGACTTCGGTATGGGGTCCGAGATCCGGGTCCCCGTCGACTGCAGTGGTGCCGTAGTCTTTGCAGCCTGATGTCCAGAGGACTAGCGGTCTCACATGGCTGGAGTTGCTGACCTCGGCGACCCGGCGGAACATGGCCATTGCCTCGTGGAAGTGGGATGCATAGTCCGGGGGTTCGGTGCAGCCAACGATGACCTCAAAAGTCTTAGTGTGGTCGAACAACGAGTCCAGGAAACTGAGATCTGACAGTGAACCCACGATCGGGGTGATCTCATCCGCTTCCAGGCCGCCCGCTGCGTCCAGCCGTCGAACCAGCCCAAACACTTGCCAGCCTGCACGGACAAAGGCACGGCATACAGCAGAACCAATGTAACCGTTGGCCCCAGTGACGAGGACACTCTTGCGGGGCATTGCTGATCGCTTCGAATTTAACGACAGAGAGCAGAAACACGTTCCCAAAACCGCTTGCGTGGTGCACCCGAACCGTCCAAGTTTTGATGGCGAGGGGCCGCGTATAGTGTTGTGGGTGCGGGGCGGAGGAGGGGGGATGCGGTGCATTTGTCAGCGTGGCCCGGTGGTTCAACCGTCGACAGTTTGCTTTTGCATGAAGGGGTCCCGCCCAAGAGATCCATCAATGACGTCTTAGCTCCGGGGCTGTCTCATGAAATCCAGGAATCCTCCGCCAAAGAAGTCTTCCATGCTCGGGATGACCGGTTGGGATATTTCGTACCCCATCTGTATTGGGTCTGTGGCCATGTGGAATGTGTCCGGGGCGGCAACATATTCTTCGCTCTCGTACGTCCGGTTCTCCGAAATCGACGAAGGCGACGTGTTATGGTCGGCTGACGCCGGGAACGCCGGCAGTGGCACTTCGGACGTGTTCCAGGCCGGGTGCTGCCGGCGGTCATGCTCCGCCGATGCTGCTGTCTTCCTGACGCCGTGGTGCGGCCGTGTGGTTCCGGACCGGGACTCTACCTTCTGCCGCGCCAGGGTCGCAAACTTGATGGCCCATAACTTACTCGGCGTGCGGGTGCACCACTCTTCGAGCCGCGATATGAGGCCGACGCTGACCTCGGACGAGACTTTGGACTGCGTTTCGTCGTAGTGTGCTAGGACAAGTGCAGAGTATCCGATGACGAGGCACAGATAGGTCGGAATGGTGTCCATGAGGAATGGCGGCATCTCCACGAAAGTCTCGAGCACCGAATGCGCATACCTCGCCGTGTGCATCTGGAGCATCTGGGTGGTGTTCTTCAACTTGGACTCCGAATTTTGACTGGCATTCGATGGAGATCCGAACGACGGATTCGATAAGAACGTCCTGGGACTCATGGCATCGCCACGCTCTTCGAGTGCCCTCACACCGAGGATCAAGTATGCAGCGTAGTAGCCTATTCGTAGCATCGATGCGGTAGACAATGCTGTGTCAGTTAGCAGCTGTCGGATTTCTAGATGTAATCCGACGAGTATGTGCTTACCCATCAGGTGGTTCCATTTTTGCTTCCAAGTCTTGAACTCTTCACATTCGCCGTTGGCGTCCAAGTACGAGCGGCGTGCCAGTTTCTGGTGTAGGACCGAGTACAGAAGTATCTCCGCCACCAGCATGCCGTCCTGCATGCTTGCTTGATAGAAGCTCAGGAGGATGTTGCATTGGTTGATGTATGGGGTCTGGAGAACGGACGGTCTCCCAGTCGTTGCAGCCCAGCTAACCGTAGTGTTTCTCATCAGCATCTATGTCTTCCTTTACGTGCAGCTTGGGTGATCCGGCGGCGGCTTACTGGAGGTGGTGTAGGCAAATTGTCGACCACAAATGAATGGCTCGTCGGTCTTGGATGGTGGCCGTTCCACGCCTGATATTGCTGACAACCTTGGAGAAACTAAGGCTCAGCATGGCCTGCTTTACACAGTAACCGGTCAGCAGCCAGCTGTCAATATACTCGGTCCCATCCTGCCACCGTGAGTTAGTATTCAGGTTCCCAGATTCCAGCGCGGGTGTATGCTCACGACGTGGTCACTCATCACCAGGACAGCATTGATCTCCTCCAGATTCAAGGGGCTCGAAAGCAATGCCTGGCCGAGGGTGATTCGGACCTGCTCATAGACCTGACGGTGGATGGGAGTCCCGCAGAGATCCTCCCGATACAGGAACGCACACAGACAGCATACGCTATGCAGAAAGGCAGAGAGCTCCCTTATGTCCCGGCTCGGCGAGTCCGTGGTGTCGTACACAAGCAGCAGCTGCCTGTGATGCCGCAGAAAGCTGCAGATCAGTCAGCGTCATCCAGGTGTGTATCGTGATAGCCCGGGGAACACCAGACTCACAGTCGGATCAGTTCACTGGCCGTCTGATCGTTGAGCAGCTGGAGCTGCACGAGGTCGAGCTTCACGTGTTCTAGCCTGCGGTAGCCCTGGGTTACGGTGACGTGCTCGCCGATCTCCCTCAAGACAGCAGTCGGGGCGGACTTGATGCCGAGATCAACCGGATCTGCGATGCTCTCCGGGCCGTCCTCGTCGTCCGCAGACTCGGGTGACGCAGTGGCGGGCTCGGCATCTGATGTTTTGGTCTTCGCGAGGTCCCCGACGAGCCCGAACTGGCGGGAGACGAACTCTACCATCTGTTTGATCTCCGCCAGGGACTTCTCATGGCGTCCAAGCCTAGCGTAGCCGGTTAGAGCGTGGGCCGTCGCTTGCCATGCCTGACCTGTCTCGTGGCACTTACCGCTCCTCGATGCTTGACGCATTCTCCACCGTCTTGGTATGCGTTGGCAGGTCCAGTATCTCACCCTTGAGAGAACATTCGATTCTGCGCGCGGGCCCGTGTTAGACAAGTCAAGTACTACTGCAGCAGCCAGGCACTACTAGTACAGGCGGGACAGCTACGCCCGAGAGGAGGGTACTCAAACCAACTGTAGTTGTAGGTAGCACGGACCTTAGGGTGACGCAGCGATGGCATGCCTGTGAGCCGGGGTCATATTCACATCGGCATTTCAGCCTCTGGCACGACTGGCAGGAGAAGACGCGGCGGCGGCGCTTCTGGTTGTTGCCGGCCTTCTCTGCGGCCTCGTCCTTCTCCGTCTTGGGTGTCTTGCGCTTCGCAGGCCGCGCGCCCTCGGTGGTAGCGGTTGCGGATGCGGTGCCATTGGCATTGGCAGTAGCATTAGCATTAGCATTAGCATTGGCCACGGGTTGGGTCTCCCCGGTGGGTCTCTCGGATTCGGCGGGCTGCATTGCTGCTGCGACCGTTCCGCCAGACGCAGACACGAGACGGGACGGCTTGGGAGTATGGGTCGTACGATGATGGGGGGGGGACAACGGCGCCGGCGGAGAACGATGGGAGGGCGATGGCACATATTAGAGCCCGGCTGGCGACCCACCGCGCCGCCTCCCATTGGCCCCGTGTGCCGCCGATCTCCGCCGGCCGGCTGCTTGTCACATGCCCTGCTCCGATGGCCAATGGGCTTAGTTCCTTATCGGACGGCTCGGTATTCCCTCCCTCTCTATTCGCTGTCGGCTGACGCTTTCCCCCCCAGCCTGCCCCAGCTTGCCGGGTTAGGCTTCTTCGGATCCGGGGCCGAGGTGTCATGATTGGATGCGGCGACCCTCGACCGAACCGGGTCTACGAGGATCACAGCGACAAGTGTCTGCGATGCCTTCGTTGATGCGCCCCGGGCAGCCGGGTGCCAACTCGGAGAAGCCTCGGCGCTGCTTGAAGCCAAACTCGCAACCTGCCCCAAACGGCGCGCATGACCGCGTTCCCGTGGCAGAATAGCCGATTGCCCGGAGCCACTGATCTCGTCTTCGGCTCGGCCAATCCGTTCTGCAATGTGGCACCAACGGCCAGACAGTAACATACCTCGTTTGCTCATTCCCTCGTTGAATGGGATCTATATGAAGGCGTCAGCGTAACAAGTCCGGTGTGGCACAGCAGTTTTGTCTAGCTCAACAGCCAGACTTGCCTTGTGTGTCCCATCAGCTCTGCATCATCATGGAGACACCAGTGTGATTGATCTCTTCTTGGATGGCACGATAACTGCAACTCACGAACAACGCCAGTGCTCTGACTGCGCCGAGCATGTAGGCCATAGCACGTAAGGGATCATTTGTCGCACACCAGTTCAATTCACAGCCGATCAGACAGCGTCACAACACACAGCAGCGCCTTCTACGAAATCCACGATAGCAACGCCGAGGGTTTACGGATCTTGAGGAGCGGGACACAGGAGGCATCGTTGAACAGGCTCTCATGCCCTTATATTGAATTGACTCTTGGGGCTCGACGCGGTCATGACCACGACACAGAAGTACGCCTTCGCTTATCATTACATTACAATTACCGCCGACCGTCCCATAAAGACATCCGGCCCGGTCTACAGTCATCTGCCACGAGCTTAGATCATGGCGACGAGGGCAGCAACAGCCAGAGCACCGGCAACGCCGGAGCCAATCTTGCCAGCACCGGCGGCGACGGGAGTCGACGAAGGAGTGCCAGCAGGGTAAGAAGATGACTTGGTGGTCGGGTAGACGACCGAGGCGCTGGGCTTGTAGGAGCTGGTTACCATACCAGTGGGGTAGGGCACGGTGGAGTTGCCGTAGCCGCTGCCAGGCTTACCGCCGGCCGGGTAGGTGGGGTAAGGAGCCTCCGACGAGGGGACCGGGTATCCGGCGGGCTTGGTTGCGGACGAGGCCGGGTACGACGCAGATCCGGGGTAAGTGGAAGCACCTCCAGCAGGGTAGGTAGCGGTCTCCTTGCCACCGGCAGGGTAGGTTGCAGTCTCCTTGCCACCAGCCGGGTAGGTAGCGGTCTCGCTGGGCTTAGTGACCGGGGAGGTAGAAGCACCACCGGCAGGGTAGGTTCCGGTCTCGCTGGGCTTAGTGACCGGGGAGGTAGAAGCACCACCGGCAGGGTAAGTAGCGGTCTCCTTGCCACCGGCAGGGTAGGTTGCGGTCTCGCTGGGCTTGGTGACGGTAGAAGTGGAAGCACCACCGGCAGGATGAGTGGCAGTCTCCTTTCCGCCGGCCGGGTAGCTCACGCTGCCAGTGGGGTAGTTGCCGGTGTTGCCGCCAGCAGGGTGGGTAGCAGTTGCGGTGGCAACAGTGCTGGAGGCAGACTTAGGAGGGTAAGTGCTGACACCGGCGGGGGGAGTGAAGGTCGCGACCGAAGAGCAGGGGACGAGGGTGGTGACCTGGGTGACGACGGTCACGTCAGACGAAGTGGGCTTGGGAGCAGCCGACGAGGTGGTGCTAGGGAAAGCCGTGATCGAGGCAGTGGCCGGGCACACACTAGGACTGCGTTAGCATGGGACACCAGGAAGTGCCGAGCAGGGATGAACTCACGTTGTGTACATGGTCGTCTTGATGAGGGTCTCAGTGGTCTGGTAGCCGGCAGGGCAGTTGACCACCTCAGCAGCGCAGGCGGTGACGACGTAGGTGGCAGTGCTGGTAAGGGTCGAGGTGACGAGACCAGTTCCAGTGGGCTTGCCGGTGCCCGTGGCGGCCTCGTTGCTGGAGGTGACGTGGGCAGGAGTCGAGCCAGTGACGGAAGCAGTGGGCTTGCCGGAGGCACCACCCTCACCTACGAGGGAGCCGGCGGGCGAACCGATGGTGGGAACAGAGACAGAAGCGGAAGCGGAAGCGGTGGGAGGCAGAGTCGAGTAGGTGTGACCGCCGCTCTGCGAGCAGTGGGTGGCCGTGGGCAGAGTCAGGAGACCCAGGGAGACGGTGGGAGCCAGGGACAGGTCAATCAAGTCGCCAACCTCGACGTCAAGCTCGACGGCAGCACCGATGTTGACGCCGTACGACTCCTTGGAGACGGGGCAGCTGGGGGTGTCGCACAGGAAGCCGACGTACTCGACGATGTTGGCGTAGACACCGAGCTCGACACCGGCACCGATCTCGGGGATGTCGAGGCCGAGAGGGAGCAGGTCGTTGAGGTCGAGCTCGGCCTCGACGCCGGCCTGGACGCGGACACGCAGGGCAGCCTGGAGCTTGGCGCAACCGATGCGGACCTCGATGGGGAGGGTCTTGACGGCAAGGCCAGTGAACTCAGTGTTCAGGAGCTCACCCTTCAGAATGTCAATCTCAATGAGGGCATCCTCGGTCAGCCTGACGTAGATACCGGCGGTCACGTCAATGGCAGCATCGAGGCTCAGGACGAGGTCGACGTAGACGAGAGCAGAAACCTTGAGGCCAGCGATGGGCAGCTCGATGGGTGCAACAGGGGCGTAGAGGTTGACAGCGACAGTGGTGGCAACGCCGACATAGAGCTCGAGGTCCAACTGGGCCTCAACGTCGCTCAGGGAGAGGCTGAGGGCTGGCACGAGGCTGGCAAGAGAGACGGTGGCGTTGATGTCTCCCCGGACGAAGCAGTCGTGACACTTGACGGCCAAGTCAACGTCGGCGTGGGCAGCGGCCAGAGGAGGGACAACCGCGTCGACGAGCACTCCCTCGACCAGAGTCAGACCGCTCAGGTCGGTGTCCAGGTTGATGTGCTCGGTGAAGGGCTTGCTCAGATCGCCAAGATCCGGCAGTGCGAGGTCGAGAGTTCTGGGCTCGGCAGGAGCCACAGCATTCGGAGTGGCTGCTACGAGCGACGATGCCGCCAAAGCCACGGCCAAGGGGCCGCGGGTTGAGAACAACATATTAGTGTAGAAAAGAGTGACTGCAGAGTTAATGAATGGACTGGAGTAGAGAAAATCTACTTCCAAAAAAAAAGGAGTGACTATGCTGAAAAGCACGTAAAAGGAATTGATTCAGCTGTAAGTGGTGTAGAGCAGCATCGAGGAGAGGAAGCTCATCATGAACGGGGACGAGGCATCCTTTTTAATAAGGCCTCTTTCTCCCCCCTGGGTAATGAGGATTTGCCAGGCCCATAGCTCAATTACTCCGAGCGATCGTGATAGTACCCCTTTCGCCCATCTCTGGGTCGTCGACTGCGGTGCAGAGCCAACGGCCTCGTGCACCTCGCAGGCTCTAATTTAGATCGTCACCGACCTCAGAGAGGACGAAACGGCAGTGAGCCGATCAATCCCAAATTACCCACTAGTCTCCTCTGTCACTTCAACGTCGGTCCCAACTTGGTAACTGTCAGCAGCCGTTTCTGGGATGTTGGCAGGGGGTCCTCTGTGGGGTTGCTGGGATGAGGTGGCCAGGGACACGGCACGAACTCCCCTTCGAAAGGACGATGTGCACGCCCCGTATCGCATACACAGTAACTAGTCCCTGCTGCTCCGTGGCGCCCTTGCGTCACGCTTCTCCTCCCACCCCTGCCTCCTCAATTCCCAAACCTCTGGCTGTTCTGGACATGATTGCGTGTACGCTGGCGGGTGCTGGAGAGGTGTCTGGAGGGTTTGTCCAGTATCCTCCACTCCAGGTACAAGCAACGACCCATCTGATAGTCTCGTTGCGGTGAGCATCCGTGGCCCCCAGAGGGGAACCGTGCGCGTGGAGAAATAGCCTGACTGCAGGCGCACATCAAGGCGCGTCCTCAATACTCCGTAACAGTCTGCATGTTATCTTGAAGTCTGGCAACTAGTTCCCACTAGTGAGCACACGTGAGAAATAAGATATAGACACCAATTGAGAGAGACTGCTAAAGCCGAGGGATCCCTTGCGCATGCAGAACCCGGGTGTCCGGACCCCAAAGCATTGCGCACCAAAGCGGCAACGGCGGGTGTGGATCCTGGCTCCCGGATGCAGAGCAAGATAGAGATCGACAGCCAGTGTCTTGGCAACGCAAGGGTCCAACATCCGTGAATCCTACTGGGCGACTGCTACATCATAGGTACTCCATACCAATTCGCTCTACAGAAGATGAGAATTTGCGAACTGCAAACAATCTCGATTGCTCAACATCGTACTGGAACAAACCCCGAGTTCAGTGGTGGCATAATGGCGCAGCTCTCAGACGACAGGTTTTGTCAACAAGAAAGCAGATGCGAGAATGGCCAGCCAAACACTGCCCTGGGATTCTAACAAATAAATAAAATAGACTTGCTCTTGGCTCAGGTGGGTGTACCTGCTGCCGACACACCGCAGGCCCCGAGCACCGCTTGGTGGGCTCGGCTCAGTGCGATGACGGTTTACGGGATGGGACAATACTAATAAAATGCCTGATGGTCGGAAGACTGAGTTGCTCGCTGTTATAAGCACCTCGATTTCAAATGTGTTCGGGTGATCACACTACCTTACATCGTTCCTTATCTTTACGAAGATGTGGTTTCGAGGATTCGACGGGGGCTCTGGTAATTCGGGTGTTTTTGAGCGCTGAATCCCGTATGCCTCGGTTTGCCAGCATTTCACAACAGGTCACCAACGTTAAGTTTGGTGCTATGAACCTAATGCAGTTGCTCTGACCTCTGGTCCGCCGGACTCCAAGTTAGCCTAGGTTCATGTTTCAGTTGTCGATAGAACCCCAGCGAATCCTGATATGTTATTTGTTTCTATAAGCTGGCTACAGAATTCAGCACGTGTATAATCATCGTCAATGCGAGGCAATTTCCCCGGGGTCTGCACTCTGAGTCTCTGACTCGCCGTGTTGGTGGCTAACATGAGGTCCATCCATTAATCAACCTACCACGCGGCCTGGTAGGGCTGCCTAGTTGCATCACCCGAGCTAGGCTAGAGCACGTGGAAATCGGTATTAGAGAAACGCCATGGTTCGGCAACGTTGAACAAGAGCCTGAAACATCTTCCTTTTTCCCTTCAGTGGTGGCTTCTTGAGGTCACGTACTTGTCCCTGCGATAAGCTTGCGTTTCGACAGCGCCAGAGCCATTCGTTCCAAGGCTAGAGTCACGTTCCGTCATCTAACTTGGGCATGTGTTACCAATAGCGTGCTGCTGATCTCGTAATCTGCCATGACCGCACTAAGAGCGTCCAGTGAGACTCGGGAGTAAACAGGTGGCAAGCTGGGCTGAGATACGAGCCTGATTCGATATTAATGCAAGCTACTCGAAGGAGCATTCATGAGTAATGGTTCAGAAGGGCCCCTGAGCCGCATAATCAACCAGAATATCGCCATGATCGACTCCTAGTAGCCTGAGGATGGGCCAACTGTAGAGTGTCGCTTACCGAAGTCAATCTTCCACCGTCGGGATGGATAATCGGCTGGATGTTATGCTGGCAAGAAGGGACAGTCTAGGAATTGAGCGGCTGACTGGATTTGAAAATAGCAGGAAACCTCGTCATAGTGTGCTCTCGAGGATAGCTATGCTGATTGAAATATGGCTGCGAGACGTATAATGTGTTTCGCCGTATACGAGATTGGAGCCCCCCCAATTTCCCTAGGTGCTTGGATTGCCTGAACTATTTCAGGACACTCGCCTATTGAACCCGACTATTCCACATGTGCCCTACCCACCTGCTTTCCGCCAGGCGCGGCCTGGTAGTGAGGCCTTACCGTGGCTTCGACGTCTGACTTCCAAGAAGGTCTCAATGGGCAGCGTGTTAGGAGGTGCTGTTTCAGGCCTGTGGCCCGCATAGAATCACCAATCCGACCTCCCAAAAAGTTTTGAGTCGTGCAACAAGCCGCCACCGTCCTCGCTGATCACGAGTCGGAATTGAGCGCCAATGTGCGATTGGAAGGATACGACAACGCGCTATCTTAATACACCAACGCCGGGCTTCCATTAGGTGGCTCCGAACACCCACAGTTCCATTCACGGCTTTATGCGTACGTGACAAGTTCTATCTCCTCGAATCAAAAGTGGTATCTCCGTGTTCGCCTCTACACACTCGACGCTGGCGCGAAAAATATCGTAAGATATGGTAGACAGAGACCCCACCTACTATTTGCCGCAAGTGTACGCGAACCGACAAGATACATGGGATCGTCCGTCATGGTTATAATATAGGCTGCTCAGTCGAATTCATCGCCATTTCCATCCTCCTCCAGGTTCGAGCCCTGCTTCGCCCTCCATTCGGCCATTTCTGCGACCGGCACGCGGCCCCTGAGCCATCGTAATGTCGCTTCGGTACCGCGCTCGAGCACGTTCCATCGGGGGACTCTGAAACGATTGCCAGTCACCTCAAGACGTTCGAAGCCGAGGAGTCCTAGGCGAGGGTTGAGATGAGCAATATCGTTACTGTCCGCGGCGACAATTTTCAGCCCGCTGACACATTCCGGGTCGAGCTCCTCCAGGTGATTGTTGGAAATAAGCAAGACAGATAGGCTGGGAAAAGTTTCACGCAGAGGAGGGAGCGATACTATGCGGTTGAAGGAAACATCCAGTTTCTGAAGGTTAGGGGCTCGGAGGTGGATTGTGAGAGGAGCCAGACTCGTGATGCGATTGTGGGAGAGATTGAGCTCCTTCAATGCCGTAAGGTCGAGCTCTTCGGTCAAGTAGCCCTCGCCGACTAGCTGGTTGTGGGCAATGGACAGGGAGGTGAGCGTGTCAGCGAAGAAAGAAAGAGAGTCTGGCATGTTGGTGAATGTGTTGTGCTGCAAGCGAATCTCCCGGACAGTCTGGTCGGCTGCGACCTTGGAGCAGATGACCGGATGTAAGGATGATGATTGGGTGTTCGCCCGATCGAGAATGCCGCCGGTTTTGATCGGCCAAGTCTGGCTGCTCAGAGTCTGCGACCTCGTTCTTTCAGGTGACTGCGGCGCTGATGTAGGAGGTGTAGCGAAATTATCGTAGTCGGATCGGCTATCATCAAGGTCGTCGTTCTCGGGAACCGGGGTGTCTTCAATGTGCAACGGTTCAAGTCTGGCAGCTAAGTTGTCCTTTAATTCCTCCGTTGTCATCGAAGTGAATCTCTTGTCTCTCAGGGGATTCCCCGCGATTCGTAGCATACCAAGGGAGTCCATTCGGGCGATCTCGGGTGGGATAACTCGAATATCATTACTTGTAAAGTCTGCATGCTTCAAGCTCCCGAGATGGGTGAAGCCATCCGGGATCGCAGGGATGCTGTTCTCATCTGCATTGAGTGTCAGCAGGCTCTTCCAGGAGCCAACGTCAGGTAGGGACTGTAAGCGGTTGATCGAAACGGTCAACTGGAGAAGTGACGGCATAGATATTGGGCCCAGGGCCAACAGAGTCAGCCGGTTGGCCGAGACGTCGAGCGTCTGCAGATGAGTAAGAGCATCCACGTCAACATCGATCAGTGTGCCCACCAGCTTGTTCTTATGGGCGAGCAGCTCGACCAGGGGCATCTGGGCCAGTATCCCAAAGGGTAACGACTCAAACGCGTTTTCGTTGATGTTCAGTATTCGGAGCCGAGAAAGCCTTTCAAAACCGTCAGGCAGAGCGGAGATCTCGTTGCCTTTGAGGTCAAGAATCTCCAGATTCTCCAAGGCAGAGAAACACGAGTCCATTTTGCCATACAAAAGATTTCCCCCAAGCTTCAGGTCCCGCAAAGGAAGAATCTGGGATACGATTTCCAGGCAGCCATTTGCCAGCTTGTTGTGAGTCTGTGGATGTGGGTGTAAGTAGATAGCATTCGCAACCCGGGTGGTCTGGTTCGCAAATTACTTACGAGATTCAACGAGGTGAGTTGCTGCAGGCGCCTCAGTCCTATAGGCAAGGCAATGAGTGTATTGCCGTGAAGATCTAGCGACTCCAGGCCGGCAAACTGGTGACCCATGTTGTCCTCATCGTCCGCAAAATCGCCGGGGTCGGCGTCAGGGAAGATGGAATCGTCGATACTCTCCAGCTCGTTGTCGGCGGCGACGAACCTAGTGAGGTCGATACTCTCGGCCCAGGCTCCACTGAAGCCGCCAATGCTTTCCAGATCGTACATTTTCACCACCTCGTCGGGTATCTTCTTGAGCCCCATGGCCGCAATGTTGAGCCTGCCAGTAGTCCGTGCTGTTTCGATGCGAGACTGCATAACCTTGCGGTTCGAGTCTTCGAAATGGCCCTGATTGAATGGGTCATCCGGAAGTCCAAAGTCAAAGGTGGTGTCGGTGGGGATCAGAGGGGATTTCAGAGGCGTGGCAGATGCTCTGGCCCCCGGGACGGGCTTCGCAGCGGCGCGTTTGGCAGCCTTGGCCTTGGCGATCTGCTCACGCAGGGCCGCCGACGACTTGCGTGCAGTGGCGGCCCCTGGGCTTTCTTCGACGGACTCGGCCGTAAGAGCGGTTGACACCGTGGAAGCACTCGAGAGGTTTCGATCCTCTCCGGCCGTGACGACCGAGGATCTTGCAGACGCTGCAGAGATTTTGCGCGTAGGTCGAATTGGTAGCTCAGAAGTGCTGGAGGCAGCTTGGTCCAGTGATGACAAAGATGGCTTCCTGTACAGGCTGTTGAGAGACGCTCGGGGTTTCAAGGAGCGCCCTGCCACCGTCTTTGACCCATACTTTGACACGGAGATGCCGGGAGTCTTTTCCGGACTCGGGGTTCGGGGTTCTGCAGCTGAAAGCGATGGATTCCGCGCAATTTTGCTCGCGGCCGAGGGAGTCTTGAGGCCAACAGGCTTTACAATGGCCGAACCTCTTCTCGACGGAGTGCCCTGGGTAGACTCGGCCGCTGGCCTGTGCGAGGCCGTAGATGCCTTGAAACCGCCATACAGACCCTCGGACGGCCCCGAGCTGGACCCGGGGCGACTCAGCGATTTCCCAAAAGAGCCGTCCGACTGATAACTGGAGCCAGGTCTGGAGCCGCCACTAGCAGCCCGAGAAGACGGCCTCCTGGAGGAGGGTTCCGAGTCGAAGAAATTTGAGCCTCGTCTCTTGATGGCGGGGGACGACGGCAGCTGTGATAGGGTTTCCATGGTCCTCTCTGCCAGCGATGGCCTCGAGATTGCTGGCCGAGCTTGAGAAGCATCGGCGTCGGTGTTTGGCCGTGTCGGGGTCGAGGCCGACCAGGGAGGAGGTGGCTCATCCGAAGGGCTGTCGTCGTCGTGGATCACGGCCTCATTCTGCTGGTACAGGGCAGGAGTGAACTGGCCCGAAGGGCGGCGCCGAGGAAGCAGAGGTTTCTTGAAGCGGTCATCCCCGGCGGAGGGGGGAGCAGCATGCCGGGCTGGCTCGCGGGACGCGCTCCGGCTTCGTGTGCCGGCATTGGTGCTTGTGCCTGCCGCTGCGGCGGCGCCGCGAAGGGCCGTCTGTGAACTCAGGGGCGGCGCAATGGATCTCTGAGGTTTCCTGAGGGCCGAGGTCGGGGTCGTGGGGCCCCGGAGCTGCTCTCTCGACGCTGGGGCCCGAAGACGAGGAGGGTTTGCAGCAGCTCGCAGGTCGTTGGGTGTGCTTGATTGGGCAGCGGCCGGGCGACCTCGCAGACCATCCGAGGAGGCTGCATGTCGGACTGTCGAGGCCGGCGCTGGGATGGCCGAGGCTCGAGGCTGGGGCAGGCGCGAAGTTGGCCTAGGAAGAGCGCTGGACCGGTTGCCGGTGGTGTTGGTCGTCGTCGAGGTGGTCATGCTCTGGCGGCGGTCATCCATGCTGAGGAGACCAAGCCAGGGCAGGGCAAGGCAAGGCGGAGGAATGCAGCTCTCGCAGGTGACTGTCTCGCACGCAGCGAGCAAGCCGGCGTTTGAAGCTTGTTGGCGCGTCGTGTCCCAAGGTCGCGAAAGTGAAGGAGGGCAGAGCGGGAGGATGCGAGGGCCTTTTTTTCCTCACACGGGCCTGGTTGTTCGGCGACAGTCCCGAGGGCGCGACTCGGTTGAACGAACAAACGAAGGGCCGGTCAATGAGTGTTACCGTGTAGGTACGCAAACAAGGTTACGGACATAGGCCCCTACATGAATGTGGCGCGTCCTCCACACATGAAGCTGGCGCCAGGGAAGGGAAGCTGGAAACGGTTCATAAGGGGGGCCGCAGTGGTGCAGAAACTACTCAAGCACCTAACCCAAGGCAGCCCAAGTCCAAGTCCAGCGTGTCCGTGGAAGCCGTCGTGACGCGGGCCGCTGGCACTGCTGCGCGGCGGACTGCATTTTAATCAACTTGGGGCGGACGCTACTGAGACGGATCGATCTGAGAAGCTTTTCCACTTCCCCTGGTCCCTGGCGAGCGGTCCCTGGTCCCTTGTCCCTGGTCCCTGGTCCCTGGTTCCTGGCCGCTCGGCTACCTCGCCAGCGAACGCTGAGTGCCGGGCTACGCAGCACAACCCCCTCCCCCCTGGGCCCCCGGGAAAGCGCCCGCGGGCACCCCTGGCAGGCCTGCAAGAGCTTCACCAGGCAATCTTGCTGAGCGTCTCCAGGCCCCCGGCCATCATCATGGACAGGGGCGTGTTAACAGGGTGCCAGGCCCCGTTTGGTGACTGGTGTTGGTGGTGTTGGTGGTGGTGATGGTGATGGTGGTGATGCAGTGGGCTACATCCCTGAATGGATGCGACGCTCAACGTGGAAGATGCTGCTGAGATGCTGAAGCCCATAACAGTACACGGAGGAGGTCATGAGCGGCAGGTTGGCGGGGACACCTAGGTGTCTAATACTACCTATGAGCATGTACTTACTTAAACAACGTGATTTGGCATCTGAATCCAAATGAGACATGGCCATGGCGTTCAAGACGTGGCAGAAGAAATGAGAGCCGGCCCTCCATTTTGCAGCTTGAGGCGCCCCAGCCCAAGACAAGAGGAAAACGAACCCAAGGCTGGCTAGGGACTCGTAAGTTCCAGGTCCAAGACAGGAAATGCTGTACAGTAGCTTGGTGCTAAATACCACATCACTATGGTATGTACGGTAAAGCCAAATTGCGATGCGACGCTGGAAGCCCGACGTTTGCGCAACAGCTAGTACGGATCCGTCCTGCAGTACGGAGCTCTTCAACGCTTACAGTACGGGTGTGTATCTACAGTACCGGTACCTACCTCGCGTAGATTTCTTGCATGGCGACCCAACCGCGAGTTGAGGCATGGCGTCGACATGGCGACAGGTGGGATATAAGAGTAGATGTGTACGTTAAACTACGACAGATGATCAAGATGGTCAGGCCAGGTCGGAGCGCTGTTTCGAGCGACCATCATGGAGGGGGCTGACGGGCTTTGCAAAGTGACGATGAGAATCAGTGACTCGCACAGTACTATGCATATACGAGGCCAGCCAATGTATGAGGGGTCCCTACCAAACTAGGCACCTTGTGACGGCCTGTCTCATACATGGGATCCCTCATACGTGCGGCTGTAGCCCTGCCGTCGACAGCTTGACAGGTTGCTGGAAGACCAGATGCGTGGTGTCACGTTGTGTGGGAAGTGGTCTCGACGGGTTCGTCTGGAATAGAAAACGGCCCTACAGCAGCTTGTAAATACTACCGGCATGTACAGGGCGTAAGAGGACGGCAGGGAAGCTTGGGAAGGGGAGGGGAAGGGTTGGAAATGGACATGGACATGGACAGGAAAAGGAAAGAAAAGAGCTCGGTCCACAACTCTAATAAACGAGCGAACTAAGTTAACGTCCATTGGAACCCCTCCATCTGAGAGCACTGCACCCCAAAGCAACCAATCACTTGGCCGCAGGGGGAGCTTCCACTTCTCCAGGGCTGTTTCTACAGCACAGACTCTGTTTGCCAGACTCACTAGAACAACCAGACTCCAGCCAGCGGGCAGGTGGGCAGGCGGGTCGTCCCTGTCGTGCCCCCAGCCTTCAGCCTTTTCTGCCGGCGGGCGGCGGGCGTTGGGCGTTGGGGCGGTGGGGCGGGGGGTCCTGGGAGGTGCCAAATAGGTGGGAAAGGTGGCTGGCCAGCCAGGCTCTGCCAGGCTACTTGATAGTCGGGTTAGTGCGGCAACTGTCTTGAGTTTAGGTAGGCCAACCTGGAAGGCTCTGTGGGTGGTGTCTGGGTGTCTGGGTGTCTGGGTGTCTGGGTGTCTGGGCAACCACCGACGACTGCCCCGACCCACCACTCCACCACTCCACCACTTCCATTTGCCATTCTCCCCCATCATCATTATCATCATCATCATCATCGCCCACCGCCATCAGCCATCCGGCATCCTCCTCCCACTCTCCTCCCCGTCTTTTCGCCCTCGATCCCTGCAGCGCCTGGCATGGAGCGATAGGAAGGAAGTCGAACTCCCCCCCTTGACCGTCTGCGCCCTCTTTTCCTCTCCCTCACAAAGAGAGAGTTGCCTTCTCCCCGCTCCCGGTCCTGTCCTGTTGCGCAGGCTTGTCGCCGCTGCTAGGTAGCTGTCTGCAGCCAATAGGTGAAGGAGAAGCAGGCCGAATCGACCTTCGCCCATTGCATCCTCAAGCTGGGCAGAGAGAGCTTCGTCGACCCTCGCCCGAAGCCATCCACCGCATCTAGGCTTCGCTTCTTGTTCCGCGCCCTTTCTTGCTGACGGGGACCTGGGCGACGCATCCTCCCTACCATCCTACCATCCTACCATCCTGCCATGGCGCCCGACGCGCAGAGGCCTAACGGCGTCGCCAATGATGCCACGCCTTCCACCCCGCCCGAGGCCATTGCCGCCCTCTCCCAGCAATCGCAGCCGTCCATACCTTCCACCGAGGCCCCGCCCTCGCCCGCCGACCAGGATCCTGCCTCTTCCTTCAAGACGGAGCTCAACGACGACCGCATCCCGCCCTCCCACGTCATACCCTCGTCCTTGACGCCCCCTCCTTCCTCCCAGCTCCAGCTCCCACAGGCCAACGCCGCTGCCGGCCACCCTCTCGGCCTCGGCCCGGGCTACACGGGCTCGCAGAGGCCCGCCATGTTCTCCCCCCCTGCCACCACGGCCGCCCCCCGCCGTGACCCAGCCCAGCCCGCCAGCGCCGCCGCCGCCGGCTACTCCCCGCCCACGAGTGACCAGGTGGCCGATGCGTCCCTCGACGAGCTCCGCGCCATGTTTCAGTCCTGCCTCGCCGAGAACGCCCGCCTGAAGATGGAGACGGCCCACCACAAGCTCCAGTACAACCTGCTCAGCATGCAGGCCGACGAGGAGGCCAAGACGGCCGCCGTCGAGCACGAGATGACCCGTCGTGAGGTCGAGGTCCTCCGCGCGGCCGAGACCTCCCGCCAGGCCCGCCGCGACCTGAACGCCGCCGCCGAGTCCACCCAGGCCAAGTACATCCAGCTCAAGGCCTGGTACGACCTGGCCGTCGACGAGGTCGACAACCTCAAGAAGCGCGCCAAGCTGGCCCGCAAGGTCATCCAGCAGAAGGAGGACGAGATCATCAGCCTGACCGACGAGCGCGTGCTGCTGCTCAGGCGCATCCGCGAGAACCGGGAGCATTTCCACATGCTGTGCAGCCCTGGCGGCGCCTTTCACGGCGTCCTCACCCCCAAGATCCCGGCCGCCGCGACGCCTCAGCAGCCTCAGCCCCGCCGGACCACGCCTCGCCAGACCCCGCGCTCCCAGTCCCACCAGTCCCAGTCCCAGTCCCAGCCTCACCGCCAGCACGACAACGACACGCACCAGGCCGGCTTTGCCGCGCTTCTGCAGGCCCTGAGCCACGACAACAACAGCGCGCCCTCGACGCCCACCTCGGCCCACCGGCCCGCTCCTCGCATGCCGCCGAAGCATACCCGTGGCGTGCAGTCCCTCTCGTCCCTGCCCACGACCCCGATCGCCCGGCCGCGCGGCGACCACGCGGCTCTGCTGCCGTCCATCGACCTGGTGCCCCAGACGGAGCCTGCCCCGCGCTTTGGCGTCCCCCGCCACGTGCCCGAGACGCCCAGGACCCAGCGCGGACGCAAGAGCAGGGAGAGCACCATCTCGGCCGACGACAACGAAGAACTCGCCCGCGCCGCCCTCGAGGCCACGCAGTCCTTCATGACACATGCCTCGGCGCCCTCTGCGGCCGCATCCACCTCAAGGTCTTCTCGTAGACACGACGGCGACGAAGAGGAGGTGTATGAAAGCCAGGCCAGCCAGGCAGCGTCGGCCATGTTGCGTCGGGATCCGCGCGAGAGCTTTGATGAGGTGGCCAGCTCGGTGGGCTCGCGCGACGTCACACCGGCACCCGTGGAGAAGAGTGCCAAGCTCCAAGCCAAGCTGTTCGCTCCCGTGAACAAGCGGGGCGCGGGCAACGAGAAGCGTAAGTACAATGGACACTCGGAAGGCGAGCAGGTCAGGCGCGAGCCGTTCACGAGCCCGGCCAAGAAGATGAGGTTCGGGCCTGGGGGCGCCGAGGCGAATCACCGGGTTGGACTGGGCATTCAGTACGGCCAGTGAAGTGGGAGAGGGAGACAGCATGTTGCAACCGGAACGGTGGATAATGCAGCTTGCCCGGCAACATATAAAAAAAAATGCAGCCCAGCACGGGGCTGATGTGGAATTTCGGAATCAGGTCACGAGGAACTTGGTTTGGGAAGGGGTGGTCTGTTTCTACATCCAAGGGTTTATTTTCAAGGGGGCCACCGGAGTCAATCGGGCTACGCTTCAATTTTTTTTTTTTTTATCACGAAATCACAGGCACACGACACACGCGGGTTTTTCTGCACTATACCTGCCCTTGCGCCTGAACGATTGGCTTCGTCGCTTGTTTTGGCCCGTGGCCTTATCACGGCTGAGCTTTTTGCTTTTCTTCGCCATACCTCGATGCCCATCCATGATTAAGATGTGATGCGAGCAGTCAAGTCGGTCCGTCGCAGCGATGGATCGATTCTGTAGCAATAGACCAGAAATATTGACGCACATGTCGACGACGAGTCGCATGATGAACACCGACCCATCCATCCAAACCGAGTGAAATCAGTGGCACGATACGGCATGGCACGGTACGCTTTTAGATATATACGCCTAGTTGCTACCAGGGACTTATTACAACTGCTCGGCATCCCGCACATTTCAGGTGCGTCAAGGGCTCTGGAGGCTGCCACACAAGCTCACCCCGTGCAGCCGAGTCGGCGTCGGCAAAGAACGGGCAGCCCAGCCAGAACGGGGATAGCTGTGGGTTCGTAGCCGGAACGTTGCCGCCCCCCAGGACTGCGAGCTGGGAGAGCTGGGCGAGCTGGGGGCTTCAGGGTGCGCAATTGGCCCCGGGGGCGGGCCGGGATTGTATTTATCCCCCACTTCCGGAAAGGCACTTGCCATCGGCAACGTTGGCGATAATTGGTTCCGTCCCCCACGGGGTATTGGCTGCTCCGATGTCGTCTTCCGACACTCAACTCCTGCTTTCTTTCTTTCTGTCGGTTGGCTTTCTGCTTCCCTGTGGCATTGTACCCTCACTGCTGCGACCCTCTGTTTGAATTGCATCTCGAAGCTGGTGCTTTGATCTGTGCCATAGTAGCTCTCACTACCGAGGCTCCCTTCTCATTGTGTCTATCGCCATAGCTAGGTAGCCAGCTACATTCCAGCGAGCTACCACAGAGGTCCCGACGTCTTAGACATCCTACCTCGCCGTGCCCGATTCCGCAATGGCATCCTCCAAAGGTCTCTCGGCCCTTCTCGCCAAGGCCCCCTCCGACATTGTGATCCTCTCGTCGCTGCGCACCCCCATTTGCCGCTCTTACCGCGGCCAGCTCAAGGACGCCTACCCCGAGGAGCTGCTCTCTGTCGTGCTCCGCGCCACCCTCGACGCGAACCCGAACCTGTCCCCCGAGCTCATTGAGGATGTCGCCGTCGGCGTCGTGCTCTCCGAGCTGGGCGGCTCCAAGGCTGCCCGCATGGCCATGAACCACGTCGGCTTCCCCAACTCGACATCCCTCTACACCGTGAACCGCGCCTGTAGCTCCAGTCTGCAGAGCGTGGCCCTGGTTGCCAGCCAGCTGCGCACGGGCATGATCCAGGGCGCCGGCATCGCGGCCGGCATGGAGAGCATGACGAGGAATTACGCCTCCCGCGCCATCCCTGTCGACCTGTGGCCGGCGCTCAAGGAGAGCGAGAACAAGCACGCCCGTGACTGCATCATGCCCATGGGCCTCACGTCCGAGAACGTTGCCGAGCGCTACGGCGTGGGCCGCAAGGAGCAGGACGAGTTCGCCGTCGAGTCGCACCGCCGCGCCGCCCTGGCCCAGGAGAAGGGATACTTCGACCAGGAGATCGTGACGGTGAAGACGCGCTTCCAGGAGGTCGACAAGCAGGGCAACAAGGTTGGCGAGGAGAAGCAGATCGAGGTCTCCAAGGACGACGGCATCCGCAGCAGCGCTACCCTCGAGGGCCTGGCCAAGCTGAAGCCCGCCTTCAAGCCCGATGGCGCCAGCACCGCCGGCAACTCGAGCCAGGTCAGCGACGGAGCGGCTGCCACCCTGCTGATGCGCCGCAGCACGGCGACCGAGCTTGGTCTGACGTCCAGCATCCTGGGCAAGTTCGTCGGCGCCACCACGGTCGGCTGCAAGCCCGACGAGATGGGCATCGGCCCGGCGCTCGCGATCCCCAAGCTTCTGAACCAGTTCGGCATCGAGAACAAGGACGTCGACCGCTGGGAGCTCAACGAGGCCTTCGCCAGCCAGGCCATCTACTGCGCCCGCGAGCTAGGGATCGAGAGGGACTGGGAGCAAGGAAAGGTCAACCCGGATGGAGGCGCCATCGCGCTAGGCCACCCATTGGGTGCCACGGGTGCCAGGATGACGAGCACGTTGATGCATGGACTGGGCCGGACTGGTGGTGAGGTTGGTGTTGTCAGCATGTGTGTGGGCACCGGCATGGGAATGGCCGGTTTGTTTGTGAGGGAATAAGGGAATGAGGAGGTTCGTTGCCTACACAGCGCTGTACATATCGCAAGGGAGTCCTGACGGCCTGGAGTGTGTATAAGTATACGTTGGCTTGCTAAATGAAAGATAGAAGGGGGGAAAAAAATTTGACAAATCTACGTATCATGGGTTCGTTGTCCACCTACTTGAATCGAGTCACGTTACTGATTGGAGAAAAGAATTCAGATCGCCAGCGACGGTCTGCACAAATGGGCTCAGATGAAGAGCAAACCACAAAGGACCACCGGGACTAGTTAGCACAATGCTACCGGCCCTTGAGCATTTCCTTGACCCCGCGAGGCCGCATGCGGCCACCTCTCGTGTCGTGTGCCCCCGAATGGATGCAAGTGATACACCAGAACCCCCCGCTAGACTCTCGTTTCCCATTCACATTCCTGGTTGGAGACACATGGCTCAACCGCCGCGGGCGTGCATCTGTCTCACTTCCCTGAAGATCACGACGCAAAATCCAAGCTAGCTTAGATGAGCACTGAAACTGCTCACGGCGATATAGGCGGGATACACCACACCCGGCAGTTTAAATACAGGGCACGAAACAGAGTCTGCACCCTTGAGTCGCCTCGCGCCCCTTCCGACTCCCTTGAGGGGCTGCGGCCAGGATGTATCTGCTCATCCTCGGCATCCCGCTGGCCTGGACCCTCGTGCTGACGATCCACCTGCTCAAGAACTTCCGCATCCTGCTCAGCCTGCTGCGCTGGACGCTGTGGACGTACCTGTTCTGCTTCGCGCTGCTCATGTCCGAGGTGGTGCGCGAGGGGCTCATGACCAACGGCGACGCCGCCTTCGTCCAGGACATGGGCTTCTGGTGGTTCATGTGGACGCTGCTCATCATCGCCGGCGCCCTGGTGCCCTGGGCCCTGGCTCCCGCGACCCTGCTGCCCGTCGTCCTGTTCAGTCACCCGCCCTTCCGCATGCTCATCAACTTTGGCCTCGCCCGCCTGGGCTGGACCGCCTTGGTCTACAGCCCCGTCTTCTGGCTGGCCACCAACCTCGGGCCCCTGCTCTGGGAGTTGTTCAAGGCCGGCTACGGCGTTCTCCGCGGCGGGAGCTGGGTTATGGAAGGGCTGGACCGGTTCCATTCGCCTGGGAAGCCGGTGCCCTTTGGGGATTATGAGTGGACTCACTCGGGTTGAGCGGTCACTTTTTCAGACTAGCGAGGGAGGCACAGAATTTTTGGGGGAAAAAAATGCGGTCTGAAACTACCCATATCGTGGACAATGGCGGCTTCGGCGCGCGCTAAGCCGCCACCAAGAGCATCGCGCTGGGGGTGGTCGGTTACGTGCCGAAGTCTATCTTCAGGGCACGACATGTTAGCTTCGTGGTGGTCTCGAGATGATCGGGATAATGGGGTGTTTGGAGACGAGAGGGATCCTCATCCTTGAGGTCCTGGATGGGTCAGAGTAGACGAAGTCAGTAGCGGTGACATGATATGCTGCAGGCCATTGCGGCGCACTAAGACCGTATATTACAATTTGAAATGGGCAAGAGTCTGCGAGGCGTTATTAAAACTGGTGGACGTCTTGGTTCTTTGCCTGAAGCTATCTCGGTAATGGCTAGCTTACCCGCGTTGGACGTGATCTTGCATCGTCTGGTGATCCCGTGCTGGTAACAGCCACGAGAACGGGATGGCTCCTATTCGTTTGTCGCCCCGGAGGCCACGGTGGTGTGAATGCGTTGTTGCATGCAGTTGTGAGGGATGATGAGCTTGATAAAGGCCGTAAACCCACCGAGGAATGTCTCCGGGGGCGAGAGGTGTGGATCATGCTCCCTTCATAAGAGAGATGGGGCCGGCCGGGCTTTGCAGGGAACGCGACTGTGCCGCAGCCTAGTTACCTAGCTAGGGATGCTGCAGCCATTTTGGGGGGGAAGAGAGTATATTGGACATGTCAGCCTTGGCAAAACGGTTCATTGGGTCCAGATACGTGTGACATCCCACGTTGGTCCTCTCATGTCCGGGCCCTACTTGGTCTGAGGATCCCGGGAGAGGAGAGGTCTCTGCCTACGTTACCTCGGCCGGCCCTTCTGACGTGGTGAGTCGTTTGGTTGGGCGACGTATGCACCGGGAAGCTCCCGGTGCAGCCACGGCCACCAGCCACGTCTACCGGTGAAGATATCGCAAAAGAATTATAGGGAGCCGCTTGAGAGTATAGAGTGCATCATCCCTGGGTCCACAGACCCACACCAGACGTAGCCCTTCCTCACGTGCACGCACGCCAAAGGTCCACCATTGAGCTGTTGCTGAATTCCAGTGCCTACTGGTAAGAGAGTGGCAAGCCTCTTGTTTATTGAAAACTCTAATTCCTGCTTCGTTTCGTGATTGGTGTCCGCTGGTTGACCGGTTTCATCGTGCTTCGAAGCCAGGTGGACCGCCACTCCTTTGCCCCCGTATAGTGTATCTGTCCAAAGACAATGTCACTTATTCACAATGGCTGCTTATCGGGATATTTTATGCATGGGCCTTTTGTCTAGGCGTCTATTAATGCCAGCCTGCATTGCATATCCGGGGAAGCGCGACGGCCTTGGATGCGTCTTGTTCGCGGTTTATGGGAGCAGCAGGCGCTTGGGTTTCTTGGCTCTGCCCGTTTCTCCACTTTAGCTTTAGTCTCTTGCTCAAGCATTAGAGGAAGAGGAGGGCATATTAGTGGTGAACTATTTCAAGTTGTTAAATATTACGAGGGCGGAACTGCCGTGGGAGGGGTGTCAAGTACTACTTGCACTGGATACCAACTCTGGCGCGTGGAACACGTCTCGAGCAATTCCAAGCCTCAGACTTGATCCCTGGCGCAAGCCGGGTTTAAATACCCTCGGAAACGTTCCGGTAGGCAAGCCTGGCGGCAGATGTTTTGGCAAGAGTTTGCGAAGGCCGGTCCACACACGACAGATCGGCTAGCCCGCATTCGAGATTCGCTCCGTTGCATTGCCAGTCTTCCACCCATAGGTTGACTGACTGCTCGTTGGTCCCTCAAAAATGCCGAACAGGTACCAATGGCGCCGGCGTCTTCCTGCAAGCACCGCATACGCCGAGGAGGCGGGTCCCGGTGCATCGTCACCGAGTGATCTAGGAGCAAACTATTTTACATTCACCATGGGCCCACCCGGGGGCAGTACTTTTCGTATAAGAGGGCGACCTCTCCTTCTGTCGAGTGCCAACGCAAATGCATGTCAGCGCTTGTTATGCACCTCATCTGCATTTCCTGAAGCTTAGCCAGTCGCGTGGGTGAATCTCATGAAATAGACTGCTGACTGCAGTTGTGCACTGTAACGTCAGAACTCTATTACCAACCGAAGCATGGCGATTGCACTGGAAACGGCACCCCGGCAAGGTCCATGTGCAATACATGTTGCCGTTCTTGAGTGCGAGCCCATGCCTCAGAGCATTGTAAAAACTCACGGCAACTTCACGGACATATTCAACAAATGGCTTGCGTCGGGCACTCGGAAGTTAAACTCTAAGAGAGTACCATCCGAGAGACTCGTCGTCAAGACTAGCAGGTGGCAGGTGCTCGATGGGTTGTATCCCAAAGACCTCGCTGACATTGATGCACTGATCGTCACTGGCTCTGTATGCAGCGCCTACGACGACCTTCCCTGGATCAATACGTTGGAGAGATTCATCAAAGGTGTGCCTACTCAACTAAATGGCGAAACACCATCCTAATCACACTTGATACAGATGTCCATGAAACCCAACCGGCTATCAAGATATTTGGCAGTTGCTTCGGCCACCAGCTCATAGCTCAGGCGTTGCTTGGACGCTACGGTGTGCACGTCGAGAAATCCAACAACGGGTGGGAGAATGGCGTCCACGACGTTACACACACACAAGAGTTTATTCGGTCTTTCCCCTTCTTAAGAGGCGAGCGCATGAGCTATCAATTCGTGCATCAAGATCATGTCGTGGCGGAATCGCTACCATCGGGCTGGGTTTCAATTGGTTCGTCGGACATGTGCAAAACACAAGGGCTTTTTCAGCGAGGCAGAGTCTTGACCTATCAGGGCCACCCAGAATTTGACGGTCGCATCTTGTATTACTTCATGGAGACACTGGGAAAGGCTGGAATCATCGATAACGAGACCTACGAGACTTCCTTGAAGCTTATAGAGAAGGAGTATACCAGCACCTTGGCGGCTGAGGTTGTCTTGCGGTTCCTGGAAAGCTAGCCGAAGGAATTGATGAGTCAGTTTTTGAAACAAAGGATTCTCGTTGGTTGCGGACCTGAGCTGGAATTTTCGGCTGTCGCTTTCGGTTACAGGGTGAGACAAAGGGCGGGAGCACCACCTCAGATATCTGCAATGCTTATAATATGATATGAATGAAAGAACATGACTTCCGCACTTTAGGAACAGTCTGTTGAGATTCCCAGCACTCACTTTGATTTCAATAGGAGCGCGTTTCCTAACCTCTGACTTCGTGCAGGCAACTGTCCATCTCGCCACCAACATGTCATATGATAACCCTGCGACCCGCATTCAAGGCGCATCTACATGGAGACCACAGGATGCAGGTATGAGCGTCATGAAACCTACGATTGCACCCGAAGCACGTGCCCAGACTCGAGCCGTGGCAGAGGGGGATAACCGGCAAGGTGGTCCGCATGCAGTGGCAGACGACGAACCCATCAGACCAACCAGATCAACCAGCTCATCCCGGAGTTCCAGGAAACCCAAGAGGCGTGCCCAGCCTGGCCTTCTTGAGCGCATCAAGGATATGGTCGTATTGGAGTACAAGGATACCCTCCTATTCTACTCCAGGCTTCTCAACAAGCGTTATTATCTATTCGCTCACATCATCTTCACGATTGGCCAGGCCATCAGATTAGTTGTAGGGAGTATTTGGTCCGCTTTCTTCCAGCTACTTGTCTGGATACTCACCCTGGCGGTTCTGGCGATTGATGCCATTCTCGCCAAGATATGGAGTATGCTTTTCTGTATTCGCTGGAGGGAAATTGCAATGGTATTCTCCATTGTCTTTGGATCGCGTATTCCACTTCATCTCTGGGACACGGTTCCGCATTACCTCGGCGTCTGTTACTGGTTAATTTACTTGACATGGAGTGGGATGTTTTTCTGTTCATGGTATGCCAGACCAGAGTCATGGGATATCCACTTTACCGTGCCGACGAGCTCGGCATCGGTCTGGAACACTGTCACACATCCATGGCTCTGGCAGATCTTTGCGTGGAGCGTCATCTTCAATTCGGACGCCTACCGCGCACCTGGTCCCGCCCCCCCGTACCGCAAGTAGTGTATCGTCATGGAGGTCGTGTAGGACGGATACCTGGAAAGCCCTCACGGGCGATCCTTTTACCTGGGCAATGGATTTGGCGGAGCTTATATCATAGAGAGCAACGAATGAGACAATCACCTCGCAGCATTCACAGTGCATTCATGCCCGCCTGCTACGTAATTATTTGAAACCATACTATTTCTGAATACTTCGCGAATCTAACCGAAGGTCCTTGATTGTGCAGTGCATTTCGAAGTAAACTGGCTCTATAACCCAGTGTTGTGAAAGTTGCGCAATTGTTCTTAATTGTGTCGCCCCAAGACATGGCTGTTTCCAGTTGGTCCATGTACCACCGTGAAGTTTCTCCGCACAAATACCTTCAAGTGCACGGTACATACTTCATTGAATGTGCAAATCGGTACATGCGAGGTAGGATAGTAGGTAATCAGAATCGTACAAGGTGGATTCCTGCTACCGTCGGATTTGTCAATCCGAGCTAAGCTGAGAAAGCATTAGGACTCATCGGGCATTCCATCTTGTTCGCCACTTGTGCTATCGTCGTATCCGACTGCGTGGTACTCCCGAGGCAGCTCGCAGTCCTCCGGTTTTGGCTGTTGGTAGATCCCAGGCATCGTCCACTGGAGTCTGCAATCGGTCAGTGCTGCGCCAACCTCTCGTTGCAATCTCGCTTTGCGTGCTGCGGCGTCGCGATGCTCCACGACTGGAACTAAAACGTTGTTCAGCACCATGCTGAAGTGGGACCTGAATAGATCCTCTGCATCATTCGCTGTCTTCATGAGGTCACCTAGAAGCCTGTCTAGGTTCTCATTCAAGATCTCGTTGAGGTCTTCGAAAGCTTTGTTCTTCAAGGAGGTTCCGTACTGTACTGGTATCCTTGAGAGGAGTGCCTGGGCTCTACGTAGCTTTCCGATACCTGTTTGTACAACGGTAAGCTCACTGAACTCCGTTACGAGGTGCTAAAGGGAGATATATATACCTTGCAGCTGCTGGGCTTTCTTGAATATCGGCCGCAATGTGTTGTGAACAACCTCGACATGTCGAGTATGTGCGTTTCTTGCACGCCTCGATATGGACTCGAGGGCAGTTTGAATCCTATCCTTGACTTGAGTGTTGATGAAGTCCAATTTAGATGATTCATACTCAAGGATACGGAAAAGCTGAGGAGCCTGGCTCTTGACCGCTTTTAACAGTGCTTGAATGGCATCTTCCCATATTAGAGATATTTCCTCGTTGGCCGGCCCAGACAACGCTGGAATGTGACGATGGAGTGCCGCGCTCCAACTATCAACTATGTTTCTGAGAACTATCGCCGCACTTTGAATTTGTTAGTACTATCGCCTTAATAATGATGGGTTTTGTATCAAGGAACTCGAAACTCACATGTCATAGTTCCAGTGGTAAGTCATACCGACTTTGGCTCTGCTGGTGAATATGCCACCTTCTCTGTTGATATTGGCGAAGTATGTCAAACAGTGCATCTTTTCGCTAGACCCGACCTGGTCTGGGTACTTATAGTCCCAGCTCTGGATAGCACCCCTGCACTTTTCCTGGAAGTTCTTAAGAGTTATATGCCGGTGATTCAATGGGTTCAATTGACGCACTTGACGCTCAAGCACCTTGAAACGCTGGTTCATACTCTATCCACAGTATTAGTCTGTTGCTGATTTCTACCACTAGTCAGTGCTAGTAGACAAATCTGAACTCACCGTCTTCAACCTGGCACCGATTGAATTAAATATTCCCATGATCTCGTCGTACTTGAGTGCCAATTTGGTCTGACCTGAGTCTTCTTTGGACCAAGCAAGAAGACGGTTGAAAAGGACGTGGTATTCGTGGAGGAGGCTTTCGACGTGCGGCTCTCGGTCTTTGGTGGCCGCCATCCGGATCCACTGCGCTAGTTGAGGAATGCCTGAGTATTCAGTACTTGGAAATCCCATGAGAGGTTCACCATGCTCGCAGGCTTCGAATGCCAAGGCACTGATTGGATGAATAGATACAGACCCTTCTTGTAGATTATGTTGGCCTCTGGTACGCGTCGCTGCCTGGCGCTTTTGGATGTCTTGCTGGAATCGCGCCTTGAGGAGCTGATTTCTCTCCCTAACGCAGATAAATATCATATTTGCCTCACACTGACCGCATTCGTGGTTCCTACGGTCAATCTCTTCAGTCAAGTTGCATGATTTCACTCTTAACCGACTTTTAGCACTGAGCCGAGCATCCGTGTTACGGCTTTTGTGGACTTTATAGTTTTTGCTGTCTTTCCCTTTAGTTAGCAAGATCCCAATTTCAGGGAACATTGGAGATACTCACTAGCATATGCCTGGGGCCTCGGGTTTTTGGACGGCTTTGGAACTAATCTCAGTTGCTTAGTGATGTCGTGACGTTCCTCCTGGAGCTTTCTGATATCTGCCTTGAGTTGCCTCTTCTCCGAGAGACAGTTCTGGAGTGCGATGTTCGCGTCGGAATCCTTGAGGCGAGGTCGAGTCATGTCGCCAAGTTCATCGATTTGTGATATGACAATACACAGACTCTTGCTGTTGAAGGTCCCGCTCATTTTAAGTTTAAGCTCCTGGTGGTCCGAGATGAGCTTTGAGGATATTTTCTCATCAGCAGCTCGTTTTGCTGGGGCAAAAACAAGCGTTGTGTCGACTTCGTTAGAATATTTTCGAGCAACCGCTGATCGACTCTCCATCACATCCCCTGAACCGGGGGAGTCGATGATCCCAAGGCCACCGCGTAGAAGATCGGATTTGACATATAGTTTCACATGGTCGATTAGAGGCCACACTGAGAACGAATGACTTGACCCAGCGTGTCCCACCTTGTCGGAGTTCATATAGGGGTGGATCATGGTAATAAAATCCTCTCTTAGAGCATGGTGGAATCGCTCTGTTGTGCCAAATAGCCGTAACACTGCCTTACTAGAAAATAGGATGGCCTCAGAATCCATTCTCTCGGCATCATTATTGCTGATCCCCCATACCGTATCAATCATCTCGAACGTGGGCTTCAAGCTGGCGGTGGCATCGTGCAAAGCATGCAGGTCATCTGATGTAAGGGTAAGAGGGTCCTCCCTCTGCAACTCGTTCTTCTTTCGAACATCCTGAAAGAACGTGGCCAATTGGTTGCTTATCTCGGATCTTGATCTGAAGAAGACCTCTGCATGATATGCTCTATGCGGATCATTGTCGAAATTGTATTCCACAATGATGGGAACAGAAGTCTCCGCCTCGAAATTGCTAGTTGGCAGCAGTTCTGGTTCGCGGAGAAGGGCATTAATTGCAGTGGATTTACCGGATCCAGTAATGCCTAGCGCACCGACATAGGTCCGAAAAGACCTATTACGCTCTTGCAGTTCAACTGACGGGGTTAGAAACCGTGGCTATTTTGTCACGCCGATGACTTACCAAGCTTGGTGACACATTCCTGCAGATCATCTCTACCTATGATGGAACCGACGGCATCGTTGAAACCAGGCATATGACTAAGTGCGTTACTGATATGAGAGATTAGGTGCTCGCCAGTACGAGCCGCCACGTCAAGGGCCTCATCTTTTAAGAACATGCGCCTCTCCACAGGATATGCGGAGCAGTCATTCCATTGAAAACGTGGCTCAGATTTAACGGTCTTTGCCCTCGCTCCCTTGATCCTTGCAAAAAGCGGCATCGTCAAGGTGATCTTCTGAAAAACTGATCACTTTAGTGGTGAGGAGCACAAGATGCAACTTGTGATTCTAACCGAGGTAACTTTTGGCGAGCACGCAATTAATAGTGTACTCAATTTCTCTGTATAGATGAATTGGAAGTTCTTCCGCCTTACCCGCGATGTGTGAGGGTGATTGAAATATGTGCAGAAGGAATGAAATAGGCTTGCCTTCATGAAATGGCCATGTAGGTGGAAGGCAGTGGTGTTGGAGCTCTTACTCAAGCTGGTTGGCATGCAGAGTTGGATCAATTTGAGTGACGAGGCTGCGGGGCATCAATGAAAGGAGAAATCAGGGTAGACTTACTGATGATGAGTTGACTGAAGTTGAAAACCCTCACAGGGATATTTCAGGGTGACGCGTACGTAGTTCCAGTGAGAAGGAAACATATGTGTCAATTGGGAACTGTGTTTCTTCACCCGGTTGAGCGCGTCGAGATGATGAAGTTGAGAAGATCTTGAGACAAGGCGTGGTGGAATGGAAGTTCAGCTGGCAGCCGCCGATCAGTCAACCTCAACAATGCAGAAAGAAATACCAACCCGAGTGGATTACAGATTCTTAGCGGATGTGTGTCGCCAGGGGTGTGGTATTGACGTATCCCCTATGGGTGAAATGGGAAAATAAACCAGCCGGGCTTGCAGAGTGGAATTGAAGGGTGTTCATGTGCGTCCTGCAGTCTCCGACGGAAAGAGGAGCACCTGTTTGGTATTGCGTTGTCGGTGGCGATAATATGAAGAGAAATTAATCTCACCATTCGTTACTCAGTGGATTTATGTAAACCTGAGTGAGAAATGAATGGCTCAGAAAAAAAAAGACTGGAACGTCGAGATCCTAGATTCAGGCAGCCACGTTCCATCACGTAGAAGAAAAGAAAGTTCTGTAATGATCCACGGTTCCTATGGGGGAAACATTGGGACGAGCCGCCATCGATGGTGTTGAGTGTTACGTTTCAAAGGTCGGCGGAAGTGTTCTACTTTGGCTCAAGAAAAGGTGGTTCAAGTTTCACATCACCCGCTGCACGGCGTGAAGAATGGCAACAACGCAGACAGGCGCCCTTTCGTGCGTTGAGAACTTGAAAAATTGACTAGTGGAACAAAGAATATGCACGAGGTACTACATTATGGATGTTGGGTAGGAAGGAACAAGATGGATGGCTCTCTTTAGATTCTGGTGAACTCTGCCAGTGTCACGAGTTTCTTGCAAATAGAAGTCGTCTGCAAGGCAGAGAGTCGTCCCAAGAGTAAGATTCTGGGTGCTGAAGATGGAGGCACGCATGCCAAATATCAGACGCCAAATTATATGAAATCTGCGCCGTGAGCACCGGCTTATATGTCTTCCAATCTGCTGATTGGCAGGCAGCGGACTTCTGTCGCCGCAATCTGTTTTTACAAAGATGGTCTCGTCATCGACTCTGCCGCCCGAGTTTTCCCACGGAGCTCCATCACATACGTTGCTAGTTGTTTTGATGGGTGAGGTGCACCACGGGATAGTTCCAAGTATTCCTACTGAAGTGTCTGAAATTGAACCACTAGGGACATTGGTAAAATGCCCATCGAATCGGATGACTACTTTGTGATAACAAATGGTATTGGCATGGAGTGCAGAGCAGAAACTACTCACCAAACAGTTTTGATGGTTGGAACAAATGTGAAATAGCCACATTGCCTTCGTCCAATTTGATGTGATTGAGGACATTGTTTTATATTCCTGACTTGGCATCTTCCTCTATCCAAGGGCTTCGCTGGTTGTGTGCGAGACGTCCACGGCTTATCAGTACAGCAGCACATGGTAGGATGACTTGCTCAGCTTCCAACAGACATACGCAAAACCAAGACTGCTGTGGCACATAATACAAAAGTGTCCTGCATTTAAACCAGCGCAAGGATTATAGTCCTTCCCCGGGTTTAATCACATCACAGGCGGCGAACGTTGGTTGTGTCTCTTTACTGCCCCATCCAACCTCCGTAACTGTGGCTAGGCTCTCCGCAAACCTAGCATACGGGACGATCTACCGGGCTCTCGTCCCATGTTGAAATGGAGCTAGAATGCCGTGAAGGGGAGTAACTAAACACACACACAACGCCGCAGTGCTACGATTGGGTCTCGGCGTAGGCCGTGCTCACTTTATAAGGCACGGTCGACAAATATGACCTTATCAGGAAAGTACTAATGAAAAGCACCAACGAGAAAGAAACATATATAATAGAAAGTGTCCGCGCAATAGCTCATTATGACTCGGCACTGTTTGCTACTGTGATTTTCAAGGCTAACTAAAGCTAACCAAAGTCAAGTAAATACCGAGGAAACAGTTCTCTATTGACAAGTTATACTTCAGAAGTCTATGATCTTGAATATAATAAACCCAAAGCAGCCAAACACCGCAATAGTAGCAACCAACGCAGGACCATATTCAAGAGCAGTTGATGGACTCTTCGGTCTTCTGTCTTGAAAAAAATCATGGTTTAGACTTAACAATGGTTGAGAGACGGACCCATCTTAAAGGTAGTTAGCAAAATTATGTGATTTATATTAAAGAACACTTGAATTAAGAGACTTACATATCCATCGCTGTTAATTTTTTCCCTTTAATAGTGTAAGTAAACAGTTTAATGTAATATTAAGTGTGGAAAGCAGTTAATTGTGGGTAAATTCTGAGAGGAACGCTTTTAGTTGGTATATGGCACAAAAAAAAGAAGAAGAAAAACTAATAAACAATCGGCTATTGGGTAGTCGAGAGTGTTCGGCGCCTAATGTTGAATTGAATCATACGCGCGGCGATCCTGAAGAAGAGGAGGGTGCGTACAAGTATGGCACAGCCTAGGATCTGCAGATTCTCTTCGTCGTTTGCCAACATTCATTGAGGCTGTGCAGAATCGAAACACTTCCAGTTAATCCCCGCAGCTACACACAACCACCAACGCATGGACCACAAAGCCACCAGCAGCTGTGTGAGTGTTTTGGGGGCCGCTGCGGGTCAATATTCCTTGAAACTGTGCAGGATCGAAAGGCTGACATGTTGGCACACTGCTGGCAAATTAAACCGGAATTAGTGGACACTCGTCAGCAGACCGTTGGGCCCCTTACGAATCCGTCTTTCCTTCTGCTATATGATTGGTCTGTTCCCTTTCGTACTTCAGTAGGTTTCTTAATTCCTTCGCACCTCTAAACTCGGCGAAGTCTTTGACCTCTTTGAACCCCCGACTTTAAGAGCTGGACCTGATTATAGAGGTCAAAGCTGAGGTTGCCAGACTCGCACTCAACGTTGATCCCTTGCCGAAGATACCCAATAGTCAGATGAATCCGTGTATTGCCCTTTAATGAGTTGGTATTGAACCGAGTTCTGTGATGCATGGCAGTGATGATCAAGCAAATCTGTTTTTTTGTCAACATCACTTCCGTAACGCTCATCTCCTTCATCAGCTTAAGCAATGCAAGCGCGCTTGGGTTTGCTGCTTACGACAATACTTATTGCATACAAAAGTTGTCTACTAGACCTGGAGTGATCAAGAAATTGAGGTTTTAAGAGTCGAAAATGGAGGCACGCATGCCGATGCTGCACGGGGTCCATCACCAGTGGCACAGCTTTAAGTGCCCTGTTACCCCTGCTGACCCACCTGGCAGTGCCGTTCAAATAAAATTCTAAAGGCGCCAATCGATTGACCTATGCGGAATATCAAGCTTCCTTATTTACTGTCAGATGGCTTTCGATTATCTGCACAATAAGAACGGCATTCTTAAGGAGAATAGAGTCATACTCGGGCGGAATCGCCCCAAATATTCTTCCTGTGTACGGAGTACACGTGTGATGAATATTTCTACTTTTGGCCAGGTCAGCATTCGGGGTGATTTATTTATGCAGCCGTCCTCTCTTAAAAGCAGGCTGTGCAGGTCTGACTGTGACCCTTATATTATGTTCCCTGCCCCCATTTTCGAAAGTGGGCATTCACCATCCCCTAAACGCAATGCGGTTGCTAAGCTCGGAAACATTGCAGCTACACGAGTTTCAAGGCGACTTCGAACATGACTACGCCATCTTATCACACACCTGGGGTCAGGGGGAATGCACTCTTCAGCATATGTCGAGTCCCAACGCCGCAATAGTGGGACTGGAAGGCTACGAGAAAATAAGGCTGTGTTGCGAGCAAGCGCGACACGACCAACTGAAATGGGTTTGGGTGGATACGTGAGTTGAAAAGCCTCATCTACTGCCAAGGATGCGTCGCTGATTCAAATGAATACAGTTGCTGCATTGATAAAACCAGCACCGCCGAGCTGTCCGAGTCTATCAACTCGATGTTCAGGTGGTACCAAAAGGCCAAAGTGTGTTACGCGTACTTAAAGGACGTCCATCACATATCCGAGCTCGCGCGTAGTAGATGGTTTACGCGAGGCTGGACGTTACAGGAGCTTATCGCTCCCAGGGACCTCCTTTTCTACTCGACCGATCGGACGTGCCTAGGGAGTAAGGCTGATCTACGACGCGACCTCGAGGCCATTACGAGTATTTCAGGAGACGTTTTGTCTGACGCGAGTCGATTTCGCCAAGTATGCATCGCCAGCAGGATGCGGTGGGCAGCTCACCGTCAGACGACACGCTTAGAAGACATGGCCTACTCGCTCATGGGAATTTTCGACGTAAATATGCCGCTACTTTACGGAGAAGGTAGCAAATCATTTACGCGGCTGCAGCAGGAGATTATGAGGGGCTCGGATGACCAATCCCTGTTTGCCTGGGGCGTACCCCAATCCCCCGTCTCCGTCGAGCACATCAATCAATCCCTCTCGAGCAATGAAAGACACGGTCTGCTTGCTAAATCGCCGCAAGACTTTATGATCGCTTCTGAGATACAGCCAGTACGCAGCAAGCAGCCGCCAACAGCAACATCGATATCGAACACAAGTGTCCGGATAGATTTACCCGTTGTTAATATTGGAGGCAGGCAAGTCGCGGTCATCGCATGCACGGTGTCCGGCCGCCCTGGAACGTACGTCGGCTTCGTCTTGAACCAGTGGGATAGATTCTATACATCGCGCGGCGTCAAGCTTTTCGAAATCTCGGACAGTGAATGGATCAGAAGCGCTATAGAGACTTTGGAGATAAGAGAGATCAGTAGCGTGCTTCCTCTAGCACCACCGCTCGTTATCAGCATACAACTAGAAATAACTGCCTGGCTGCACCACGGGGATGTCGAGATACATGCCCTGCCAGGTGCATCTTATCATCGGGCCAAACGATTGGTCGTGGGGCATGGCTATAGTGGTATTCACGCTGTTCTGATTTTGGATCCCTCTGTGTATCCCCCATCCAGATACGAGGAGCACCCCGGATTCGCTATCATTATTGGAGCAGACTCGAGGCCTTGGGTTTCACTCGTCCCTATCCTGCATCCTGATCGAAGAGCAAAGCAGTTCCATCGTTTGGCGGCGTCGAACCCGGATTTTATCAAGTTCTGCATGACGAAAAGCGCCCTGCTCGCCTTGCTTAGTAAGAAGCAGGGCGAGATGAATTTCTTAAACGGCCGAGCTGAGAGACTTGATTTAGTGCTGGATCGCGAGTCCATCCCTCGCGGCAAGAATCTAGAGATCCGGACTGGACGGCCCATCAAGAAAGTTGTCAAGACGGTCGACGTGTGTCTTCATCTCAGGGTTCACTTCGAGGAAGTCTCAAGTGACCATCTAATCGATTCAAAGGTCTGTATAACGATAGAGTAAGTGCAGTCGGTTTATGTTACAATTCCACAGGTAATAGCTTTTGGTTACTAACTTGATACCAAAGACGTAGGAGGAGTACTTACTTTATTTGATTTGTAACGACTGCAAGTGTGACTCGAATGTGGGGTTTGCCCTCGTGGCTGCCTTGCCATATAGTTCTACTACATGTTGTGGAACATCTAAAGCAAGTGCACTGCTTGTCTTGGACCGGTGAGATTAAAGTCCGATGAAAATATAAGTGCTGTCGCCTACTACGCCAGCTGCCACATCGAAGGCGTGGGTGTACCATCTATCCTCAAGATGGCACCTCACGGGTGTTGTTGTTATCAGAGCTCCAGATCTCTGTTAGCCAGGGGATACTTCCATAACGTTCATGCAGCATCAATTGCGTTCCGCGTTAGATGTTTGCTTCAACAGCATAAAACTTAGCGGTCGCTATCCATCAGCGGTACACTACAACTAGAGCCCAGATTTACTTTTCGGCACAAAAAGCAATCCACTAATTTTAGAGTCTTATGTAGTTCAATTTTATTCAATATACGAGGGCCTTGGGCTCAGGAGCCTCCAAGACCGAAGTTGTTAGCCGTACTTTCGGCAGAAATTGGAGACTTAGGTATATGTTAGAATAGGATTGTGCAGCTTCCCCCGAGCCGAGACAGCTTGAAGGTTGAAGAAGAATGAAGTACTGAGACTTAGGTTAGCACTTTTTTAGTATTGAAATCATGTATTCGTCAACTACCAATAAACACAACATCATTGCCCCTTTGACTCGTGTGTCATTTCGTGGACTGCAGTGACTGGTGAGCCATCCTGTCAGTCCAGAGATCCCGAAGCGTGATCAGAGACACCTCATCTTCACGGTTCTGCCGGGCTGGATCTTCCAAGGCGCACTCAAATGCACCAGCTGCTCGCATGGAGTTCCATTCCTCAATGAAGTCATTGACAGAGATGGGATACCTCGGCCACGGCGGACGAAGGCTCCTGTCGAGATAGCTCCAGGCAGACTTGACAAGCTCGTACTCCTCCGCCAGAGCATTCCCCGCGCCGTACCTGCGACGCAAGTACTCCATCCACTCGCGAATATGGCGCTGAGCCTTCAGGTCCTTGACAGTGTACCAGCATGTCTCCCCCTCGCGCTTTGCGTTGTTGTCAATTTCCAGTTGGATCCATTTCTTGACATAGCTCTCCCCGTGCAGCTGAAAAGACATCGACTGCCCAGCAGCGTCTCGATTCTCGCGACTCATCTTCTTCATCTCATGGTCAAGGTCAAAAATTCGAGCATAGAGATCCGAAGTGAGTTCCCTTATGTCGTCAACAAGCTGTCTGCAGTCAAATATGTTGTTCATCTCGGCTGTATATTGACGGTTGTTGCTGATTGCGTCCAGGGTTCTTCGGACGTCAATTTTGGATACGGTCTTAGTGCGTGTCTCGAGCTTAAGAAGAAACTGGCTCATCATGGTGAGATTTTGATGGGTGGTAATCAGGTCAAGCGCCGGGTCGTGTTGCTCGGTAGCCAGCGACTCTTCCCGGCCAACGGGCCTGTATAGTGCGGTCTGCTGTGAGGCGATGCTTGGGGATTCGCATGTTTGGGATTCACATGACGTGTCCGAACCCTGATAGTCAGTTAAGGAATTGAGAGGTTGTTTCCAATCGAACTGGTACGGTGCGATCTTTTCCAGGGGGTATGGCATCGTGACCCAACGCAATTGACTCCAGCGGCAGAGATTGCCTTGCTGACTGTGTTTTGATTTTGGGTTCCCACTTTCACGTTCCGTACTGCTGGGACCGCCGTAGAGGAGACAAAAAGCAATACGTCACCCTTTGTTCTAGTTTAGTCTGGTGGGCAATGTCTCTGGGCTCTGCATGTTTCAGAAACTCTTTTTCGCTAACCCCGATAGCTCGGCTACATCCGCCAGACCCCAATTTTATAACTGCACCCAAATGTGTCACGAGAGAATAGGAGCAATGGACAATCTGAATAGGCTTCTTATATCTCGAGTTTGACCCAACATGCCTACATCCATTGGCAGCCTACTAAGTTGTACAATTAGAACTAGAGCAGTTGCAACAGATCGGTTACTTTGTGCTTGTCGATATTTTCGATAACGTCAATGATGGCCTTCTGCGTCTTTTCTCCGTAGCACGGCGCTGTCATACCGAAGAATTTCCCGTGTACACGATCCTTGGAAAAGGGATGCTCATCTTCGCCCAGAGGATAGACTATGGCTTCATTGCGAGTTGTGCCGTCCGAGAATTGGAAGGTTACTCTTGCTTCAAGGTCGCGCACCTCGCCGTTGATCACAGCCTTGACCTTGCTGCACCAGCTCAATACCTCGGCGTCGCCCAGCTTCTCATACATCTTCCACCCAATGTCCATGCCATACAGCCACGCAATGGCGATTTGGTAGTATATGCTGAACTGCGCATCGACCACGGTCTTGGGCTGGAGCTTATTCGGATCAACAGTGCCAACAATGGGAAAACACCCCGGAGATAACTCTACGGTGAAGCCTTCGATTGACTTCCCCTGAGATTCTTGGGCTACACGAGAAACGACTTCGATCGCGGAGTGTGTCATGCGGCACGCTGGGAAGGGCTTCATTGCAGTGGAGCTGAATATCCACTCCTCACCAAGGCGGTCGGTCAGACGAGCGGCGGTGGATGTGGTCGAGTACGAATGCAGAACGCCATACCTGCCTTCAATGGGTCTTGTCGCCCCAAGGACGCCGGCCTCAGCTAGAGCAACGACAACGAAAGCATCGTGGACGGCAAAGCCAGGATGCAATCGCTTATTCCAAGACCCGTTGTCCAGGAACTGCATCGAGCCGGCCGCCTTGGAGAGGGCGAGACCAAAGGCATTTTCAATCTGATGAGCATCCAAGCCCCTGATCTTGGCAATGGCAGCGACTGCACCAAAGACACCTGCGGTTGCCGTGTTGTGGAAGCCGCGCGTGTAGCCGCCGTAGTTTAGGGCGCGGCCTATCCTGGTGGTTATCTCGTAGCCCACGGCAGCACCGAGCAGGAAAGCCTTGCCGTCGGACTGTGAGAGTTCGGCCTGGGCCAGGGCTGCTGGGATGGCGGTCGCGCCCGGATGAAGGATAGATGCGGCATGTGTATCGTCAAAGTCGAAGCTGTGGGAGAAGGCGGCATTAAGGAAGCCGGCGTACTGTGGGGAAAAGGTCTTGCCCTTGGTGTAGACGGTGCTCTGTCCGGAATTGCCATGCAGGGCCAATACCGCTTTGAGGAAGGCCTCGCTCGACTCGGCAACGGCGGCAGCGCCGGCCGAGATGCCGATGTGGTCAATGATGAGGTCCTTCAGCTTGGCCACGTGTGTGTCGTTGAGCATGGCATAGTTCGCCTCGGCGACGAATCTGCACAGCTCCTTGGTGATGCCACCGTCTGCGTGCTCCCCGTTGGAGCCGTCGGCCGCCGGGTTGGAACCATCTTCCTGAGACGGCATGCTGTCCTGGGTCCGCGGTGGTAATCGGTCGTGTCTCTCAAGTGGCAGGCATCGACAGGACGGCGAACACGGCGAACGTAGCGTCCCTGAGTTTGGCTTGCTGGATACAAGTTCTGGGCGTGTGCATATATACCCGACATACTTACTCCGTACGTAGCCTAGGTCGCTACCTAGGCAGGTATAAAACCCCACCCCGAGTAAGCTCGGATAGAGGCGCCTCAACCCCACGCTCTCCGCATCCGGGGTTGTGCAAGAAACCTAGGCATTGCGGGCAGCTTGGTGTGGGGTAATTGGCACCCTGGACTCGGCTCCAGCTGCAATAGTCCTTGGTGCCAGCATTGTGAGTATCCAACTTTAGTTAGGCGCTACATATACCTAGGCATGTACGTTGTACCCACATGGTGTGTTGGCGGATGGGATCACAGCAGTACGATAGAGTCTCGGGCTACACAACGATTGCTGAGCAAGCCGAGAGAGATGGACTTGATCGGTTGATGCTATGGAGTGCCTCTGGTACGGCTCTTGGCAAGCGCGGGTCAAGCTCGGGGACAGCATAACTACATACGGATCGAACCGAACCAGCTTCGGAGGACAAGGAGCAACAGGACGTGGAGCATTGTGATGAAGTGGCGGGCGGCATCGGGCTGTTCCGTAGCCAACCGTCCAACCAAGCCCCAAGCTGTCGATATGAGAAGCCGGAGATGCGTCAATGGCCAGGGCATGGCGTCCGACGTCTGGATCCAGTCAGGTTGCAGGGCGTTTGTTTGTTCTTGGTGCTTGCTTGACAGGCCGCCCCAGCTCAGTTCCGGGTTATGCTTCACTCATTCGTCGACTGGCTACATACCTAGGTACCTATAGACTAGTGCAGTCGTCGTCTCCACTTTGTTTGACAGTCTCCCAGAGTCCGCAACTCCCCAAGACTGACGAACTGTCCAGGTGGACCTTAGCTTGCTTGCCTGCCTACCACGAGCAAGTTGCCATCGCTGGCATGCACCTCCTCTGGAGTCAGTGGCGTGGGGATTGAACCCATTCCTGACCGAACCACTGCGTTGGGAACGGGGCTGTGTCCAGAATCCAGAAGGATCGATGCAATGGGATCGATGGGGGTCGTTCCGGGCGCGTGCGTCATCTGGAGTGCAGTCCATCCACCACGCACCGTACAGTAGAACAAAGAAACAGTGGGAATAGTGAGCACATACGTCATCATGGCCTCTGTTTGTCTCAGCAATCGAAATTGGCCCGACCTCACTTCGCCATGGCGATGAATACTGGACTTCTCCATCCATCGAGTCAAGCACAGAACTTACCTGACCTGCACGACCAATTGCGCTTCTGAGAAAACAAAAAAAAAAAAGAACATGGCCGAAATCGCAGCGGGAGTCGTCGCCGCCGAACAGGTCGTCTCCACGACCGTCCAGGCCGGCGCAGCGGGATACGCCGTGGGAAAGCCGTCCAACGGCTTGAGCGCTACCTTCAGCCAGCTTGCCACGGCGTCGCCAGACGGCACCAGGTATGCTGCACCGGGGTCGCCAATACACAAGACATGTCAGTACTGATCTCCATCTTGCAGTAATTCGCTGGCCAGGTCCAACCACAGCCTCACCGTCGTGGGCGACCGGGCATATATCTTCGGCGGCCAGACGGACGCCGGCAAGCTGGCAACCAATCATGTCCACTCGTTCGCCCTTCCCACCAAGGACAAGGCCCAGGCGGACTATCACTTGACCCCGGCCATTGCCCTTGCCGAGGGTGGCCCGGTTCCCCAGTCACGGAGGAGCCATTCTGCCTGTGCTCTGGGCGGCTGCATCGCCGTCTTTGGAGGTGTCGATGAGTCTGGAAGCACCATTGTCGACCCTGCCATCTGGCTTTACGACCCGCAGAAGTCGGCTTGGGAGGCGACGCTGCCCGAGCCTTCCACTACGGCCCCCACGGCCCGCAGCACGGCGAGCCTGTTCTCCGACGGCGAGGATCTGCTGCTGTACGGAGGGAAAGACGGACATGGAACTCCACTGGTCGACGTCTGGATATTTGTGTTCTCGACAAGAACCTGGGCGAGACTACCCGACGCACCGGCCTCGACCACCAGCGCAGCCTTTGCCGGAGGCTCGCTGTATCTCATCTCTGCCACCGATGCTCTAAGCAGTGCCCTTCACCACCTCAGCATTACCATTGAGGCAGAGGAGCCCCCGAGCTGGGACACCGTTCAGTTCCCAACAAATCCTCTGACCCCGGGCCCGAGACCGCGCGAGAACGGTGGCCTTCTCCACGTCACGACCGGTTTTGGCCGGCAGTATCTACTTTACCTGCTGGGCGACCGGCAGCCGACCAGTCCCTCCGAGTCGGCAGAGGCCGCATCGCCACCCCAGTGGAGCGACATGTGGTCTCTCCAGCTGCCCGCGAGCCATGTTTCCGTGGAACGCACCACGACCTTCTCCGAGGCCATCAAGCCTGCCAAGATCAAGGATGCCATCCGATCCAAGCTGGGATATGACGCCGGCACCTTCACCTGGGCAGAAGTGGACGTCAAACCGCCCGGCGATCTTGCAGAACCGGAGGGCAAGGTCCACCCTGGACCTCGAAGTTCCTTTGGCTGTGACGTCCTGGCCAACAGGAAGGACGTCGCACTTTGGGGCGGAATCAATGCCAAGGGCGAGCAGGAAGGCGATGGATGGATTATTCAGCTTGAGTAATTTCACACTCGAGCTCTGGAAAATCATGTATTAGTAACATAACGTAGACTGGTCAAAAGCGAATGCCACATTTCATGAACCCAACACACCATACTTGAATTGGGGGTATATTATTGTTGTTTCTCTTCTCCACGCAAGTTCAATGGGTTGAAATCCAGTTATGAACTTGGCCTTGCATCTGGGTTGAACTCAGCAATGGGGCGCCTCCCTAGCCTTTGGTTTTTTTTGTTTTCCCTTTTCCTTTCTCGCTTCAGAATCCGATGGCCGACTCTTTGCCGACGCCGTCTGGCAGATTACATATGTTTACATATATACCGCCTAGTGCCGCCTAGTGCCGCCTAGTGCCGCCTTTTTGTCATTATAGTTCAAGTTTAGACGATACGCAGTTCTTAAGCCTCTCCCCAAATCTCGTCGGCAATCTTCCTGATCAAGGCCAGCTTGGCCTTCTGGTTTTCCAGAGTCAGCGGGTATCCGCTCTCATGGGTCGAGAAGCCGCACTGGGGGCTGATGCAGACGCGCTTGAGCGCCTCCTCGCGCGTCTGGTTGCTGCCCTCGGCGATGAAGTCGGCGGCCTTGAGGACGCGCTCCTTGACGGCGTCCTTGTCCTCGAGCTCGCGGAGCTTAGTGCTGATGGCGCCGATGACGACGTTCTTGTTCTTGGGCAGGTACTTGAGGGGCTCGAAGCCGCCGGCGCGCTCCGTGTCGTACTCGAGGTAGAAGGTGTTGACGTTGAGGTCCTCGAACAGCTTCTTGGCGATGATGTCGTAGGCGCCCTCGGCAAAGTGGCGGCCGCCAATGAAGTTGCCGCGGCACAGGTGGATGCCGGTGTGGAAGTCGGCGGGCAGCTTGCTGATGGAGTCGTTGTAGAGCTTGATGTAGGCGTCGAGCAGGTCCTCGACGGTGCCGATGTTGTCCTTGTCCTCCTCCCAGCCCTTGCGGAAGGCCTGCGAGCAGAAGTAGGCCATGCCGGGGTCGTCAAACTGGACGTTGCGCAGGCCGGCCTTGTACAGCATGTCCAGCTCGGCCTGGTACACCTTGGCGACGTCCTGGAAGTACTCGGCGTCGTTGGCGTAGGCCTCGGGGCTGTAGGCCTTGCCCTGCTTGTACCTCATGTGGAACCAGGCCGGGGTGATCATGGTGAGCTTGATGTTGCCCCATTCGCTCTTGGGGACGAAGGCCTGGACCAGCTGCAGCTCGTGGAGGTTGGAGAGCGACTTCTTGGGGTCGTGCGACAGCTTGGACCCGGCAATGACCGAGTCGCCGGGCATGACCTTGCGGTCCTTCTCAATCAGACTCACGACATCGGGGTGGTACAGCCTGAACATGGAGGACTCGGCCTCCTGGAGGGCGATGGTGCCCTCGAACTCATCCCACTGCGCGCCGCGTTAGAGAAAAAAACATATAAGTTTCAGACGCGGGTTTTATAGCCATGAGACAGCGCCCATCTGCCTCAGCTCAGCAGCAGGCAATCGATTATTTACGCACCATGTGACCCCAGAACCGGGTGCGGTTGAATTCACCGCTGTTGACAGCCTTGAGGCCCAGCTCCTGCTGCAGCTTGACGACATCGCCGACGGCAGCCTTCTCGACGGCGGGCAGGCCAGCCTCGTCCTCCGAGACGCCCTTGTCGCGGATGGTAGCACGCACTTCCAGAAGGTTTTCTGGGCGCAGAAGCGATCCCATGTGCTCAGCCCTGAACGGCGGGGCACTGTGAAGCGGGGCAGCCATGTTTTTAAGGAGGGGGGGTTCTGGGGGTGTAAACGGATTGTGGCCGACAGAGGACGGTGGTTGTTGGTTGGTTCGTGGACTATAGGTGAGAACCTGGATGGCCTAGGCAGTCAAGCGACTATACACGCGTAGGATTTCCAAAAGGGTAGAAAAAAGGAAGGTGTACTCGCAGTAGTCCATCCGTGTCCTCATAATTTGGTAATTCTGCACTTTTCGCGGAGCGGGGAACGCTGCCCAGCTTCGGTCCGGCTCCCAATCGACCCGCAAAGCCACGTTCAGCGTTTGTGGGGTATTGCGGCCGCAGTGAGGAGACAGAGGTTTGGCAATTTGAGAGGAACTCCGCTGGGCCATCGGAGCCAGCCGATCCCCAGCATCCATGATGCTTTTACGGGGGCTGATTAAGTTAGGTAATCGTCATCCCCTATCTCGAATCGGAAGTGTGCTGTTACAAGAAGTGAATCATCCCCAAGCTGTTAACTACTTCTTGGAAGTCACAAGTGGTGCGGCAATAAGCCGTGTAAAAACGTACTATAATATATGATAGTGTTGAGTCTGCAGTCGAGACTTCATGCGTCAAAAATATTACATACGGACATTTAGTTCATCTGGTTTCTGTCGGCCGCTCCTAATCATTCAGAAAATGATCAAGTATTATACCAAGGATGGAAAAGTTCAAGAGACATTTACACGGGGCTGCTTTCATATAGACCGCTTATACCACCTCCGTTAGGGCCATTAGTTAAACGCTACCTTGACCTTGGGCACCGGAGGTATCATTTTGATCCGCGCGAAGTTGTCGAACACGGAGAGCAACGACTCGGACGTGTCCACAAACCCGTGCCATCCCAACTTTCTGCTCTTGTCCATACTATTCACGGTTCAGCACGATAGCCCTCGATAGCCATGGAGGCCAAATGACTTACCTGAGCAACAGTGGGCCGGCCCGAGTTGTCGACCCATCGAGGAAGGCGAACACTCGGTCGACGTCTTTCAGTTCCCGGCAGGCCAGGTCATGACGGTCCGCGATCTTTCCCCATGCTTCTTGGACTTCGGGGCCCTTGGCCCATTCCGTGAGACTGAACTTCTGCCTGACTGTGGCATTCGACCCATAGCCTCTCGGATTGTGAGGCACCTGCCTCTCGACATAGGTAGCCTCCGGGTCAGGCCCTTTCCAGTCAACACCGTACCAGCCAGCCAAGCGGGGCCAGAAGCCTTCCCACGTGAACAAACTGTCATCCGAGGTATTGAACCGCTGGTTTTCGGCGGCTGGCGTCAATACTGCCCACTCCTCCATGAAGGCTGCATCGATTAGTCTGGCTCGACCTTGGACGAGAAAGGGGCTTACCATTCAGCATTGCACTGCTCATGGAAGAATGCATCTGCCACGCCTCGACGCCCGAGGGCCATTCCAAGGGCTGCTTGAGCTCGGCACAGACAGACGCATAGACAGCGAGCGGGAATGCCATGTTCATCGCAGCGTCGGGGACGGCCCCTAGGATCGCACCGGGCATGTGTACATTCCATCCAACCCCCTCCTCGCGGCAATATTTGAACAGCGAATCCTCTTGAGGGTAGTAAAAATTGGGTTCAATCTCTACCCTCGGATCAGACTCCTCTTGGGGGACCTTAGTAGCGCCCAGGTGCACGCCATAGTTCTTTGCTCCAGTCTGCAGCATGAACCGTTTGGGCTTGATTGACGCCATCTTCAGGGCACCGATGAAGTTGTCCAGCAGTTGCGAGTTCACTCGGCACATCTCCCCCGCGTCCGACCACAGGCCGCCGCCCGCCTTAGGGCTGGGCTGCAGGTAGGCAAAGAAGAAGATGTGGTCTGCTTGGACCCCCTTGTCCTTCAGCGTTGCAGCAATCTCCTCTGGCGTCTTCAGGAAGTCCAGAGCCACGTGCTCAGCATTGGATGGTAGCCCGCCAGGCATGTACGGAGGCCTTCTGCTCAAACAGTATATCTTGCGCCATCTGGACGGAGACCGTGAGAGCACTTGCAGCATGTGGTAACCAGATATTCCGTTGGCACCAGTGATGATGGCAGTCAAGCCTGTAAGACTGTCATCGTAGACTGGCAGGCCGTGGTAAATATCGATGCTCTGAACCTGTTGCACAGACATGGTGACGCGATGTTGGACCCCTCGCAGGACATGATTTATGTGTGCCGTGCCTTCTACAGTTTATACCATGAAGGTTGCGGATGTCACGGTGCGGGGACGTTGCTGCATGCGTCATTGCACTTGCAAGGCGCTGAGACCGCGGCACATCGAGCTTCCAATTACCTGCCGCATTGGCATATCAGCATGTCCTTGTGTGACTGCTGCCCAACTTCATCATCTGGTGTGGCTGCACGCGGAAATCGACCCTCCTTAATATTAACATGCAAGCACCGCGGCGACAACAACGCCGCCGACCGCCCCGATCCTGCGCAGAATGCCGTAGGCGCAAGATCAAGTGCGACCGGGACCAGCCGTGCAGCCAGTGTGTCCTGTCGAATGGTCGCTGCCTATATGATGGCGGAGCCGGAAATACGACCTCGCAACACCAGCGACGGCCTAGGCTGTCTGTGCCAAGCTCGGGATCGGGCTCCGGAGCAGTCCCATCATCTAGAGGGAGTCGGACCGGAACCGCCGGGCCGCACCCGCACCAGCGTCAGCCAGCAGCGGTGTCTCAAGCACCGCCGCCTCTGACTGTCAGCCTGACCGAGGTGCAAAGGTATCATGACCAACCGTCGTCGAGGCCGTCTATCAATCCCGATGGGAGGAGAGAGGGTGAAGTGCATGATGATGCGCTCGGGGGACAACTAACCCGTCGTCTCCAGTCGCTTGAGGAATGGCTTTCGAAATATGCTGCCGAGGTGGCGGCGGCGACCGGGATGGCTTCGAATTTAGCATCCTCGCGTAGTGACAATTGCAGCCATGAGCATGGTGATAATAATGACGGGTACCACATGGCGGAGGCCGGCCTGGAAGGTGGCGATCAGCTGGTGCTGCACAAATCGAGGCTGTTTGGTCAGACGCACTGGACAAATGCCGTACATGAGGTAAGAGACAGTTCATAACCATACATCGGATCCCCAGTGATATCCTCCTGTTTCCCGTCTCAGCTATATAGCTATTGCACACTTATCACATTCGGGCCTACTGAATACTACCACAGTTCAAGAGGATTGCCGCGTTCATGAGGAACGAGGCCAGGAGCTCGCTGGAGACCGCGACCACAACTACGGCCAACACGGCCGCCAGCGTCCAACAAGTGCGAGCGCTCCTGCAACAGTGCAAGAATCTCTCAAAGACTTTGAAAACGACTCGGCCGGGAAGATTTCTATCTCATCCAGAATCTGTTGCATATACTAGAGATGCAGCGGACCATTTAGCACGGCTATATATCTCACATTTCGAATCTGTGTTCCGCATCCTCCACGTGCCGTCGTTTTGGTCAGAGTGGGAGAACTACTGGGCGGATCCCGCGGCAGCCATGGATGTGACGACGCTGAGGGTCCAACTTGTCGTCGCCATCGGGTCGGAGCTTTCCGGGGACGAGCAGCCATCTTCGTCATCGAGAGATGTCCGCCAGACGGCTTGCCGATGGGTGTTCGCTGCACAGGACTGGCTGGCTGCACCGCTTGAGAAGGACCGGTTGAGTCTGGATTGCATCCAGATACAATGCCTGCTAATGCTGGCTCGCCAGGTGCTCTCCATCGGTAGCGATTTAAGTTGGGTTGCGATGGGCACGCTTCTACGCTGCGCTATACAATTGGGCCTGCACCGCGACCCGAAGCATTTCCCGTCGATGAGTCTTCTGTGAGTTTAAGTGACCATGACAATGGATCGAACTTACAATACCTTCTGGAAAATACTTATAACAGAATGGTCACTAACTGTTTTATCAAAATAAGTGAGGCCGAAGTACGGAAAAGACTATGGGCAACCATTTTGGAACTAAACATTCAGACGTCGCTGGATTCCGGCACGCCGCCAGGCATATCACATGGCGACTTCGACACAGGTCCGCCGTCGAATGTAAACGACGAAGATCTAGACGCATCGATGACGGCGCGCACTCTTAAGCAGCAACCCGACAGGGTCACAACTCAGACTTCGTTACAGCGCTTTCTGTTGCGGAATCTACCGGACCGGCTTGAAATGTTGCACTGCATGAACGGCATAGACAAAACACTGAAGGACGAGGATGTCCTATCACTCAGCGCGAGAATCGGAAAAGCCTGTCGGGAGTGCGTCCCGTATTGCCAGCCGATGCAAAGTGAATCAGAAGTTGCAGAAACCGAAAGAAACGAAGCCGACATCGCGATTTTCAGGCGAGCCACGGCCCAGTTCCTGCTACGCCGCTTCCTATTAGTCCTCCATAGGCCACTCGCAGGCCGCATCAACGAGAACGCGCTGTACTACCACTCTCGCAAGGTTAGTTTCGACACGGCTGCTGCGCTTCTGAAGCCCGTGAACAGTACCAACGCCAAGTTTTCACGCCTTATGATTCGTGGTGGCGGCATGTTCCGCAGTTGCCTCAATCATATCTCGCTGGCTCTAGCTTCAGAGCTGCTTATTGAGATCGGAAATGTGGGAGAAGAAGGGGAAAAGGGAGGGAGTTCGGCTTATCGCCAATTACTTGAAGATGCTGTCAAGGAAGTACGCGACCTTTGGGCCGAGAGGTTGAGGCGTGGGGATACTAATGTGCGGTTGCACATGAAGCTTAGCATTGTGCTGGGAATGGTGGAAAAGGAAGAGGACGAGGAAGAGAGAGGGGCCAGGGGCAGGACCGGTGGTGGAGGCGACGTTGGAATTTCGACACAGCAGCGTATGACGAAGAGCGCCCAGGAGAGTCTGGAGACTTGTATTCGCTTGATCAAGAGGAGCTTCTCTGACTGGTCTATTACTGGGAGTGAGGGTCGTGCTGTGGACGAGCCGATGTATTTGACGGATTACTCTTTTGATTTGGGGGATGATACCTTTCGGACTTCTGAGCTGGGTGTAGGTTTAGCAGGCGGAGGGGAATTTAGTCCGAACGCGTTGCTGTTCTGATGAGCTCCACGTGTCCAATAGGGCCCTCCCGCTGCCCGTTGATGGTCAATGATCTGTGTAAGTAGCTAACATTTGAGTCCTATAAATTGGAATCCCTTTGACGTTAGAGCCCGTTCAGGATCAACAGTGTGATGGACGAGTGATAGAGCGTTATGAGGCAAGGTGTTTGACGTCGGTCTCTTCTATGCCTTGAGGTACCTCCATTTGATAGGCACCATTTGATAGGCAGTTCAGTCATCCAATCATGAAAGCTTCCTCTCGAAGTTAATTGTCAACATGATTCCCTTGGGATATCTCTTACTTGGAAGGCTGGGACGTTGTATTACATATGGAAAGACCTCTTCCCCGTTGATCGACTTGACTTTTCTGCATCATTCGCATAATTGGCTATTCATGAATTTCTGGATCCTAGATATATCAAGGAGAGAAAGCAACAATACGGCCAACGCCAGTATAAGTAGTCGCCTCATCAAAAGCCTCTTGCCAATCATCCAGCGCAAAATGCTTGGTCTTGACGAGGCCCGCACCTCGGGCGAACAGACCTGCTTCCAGCATCTTCACCAACAACAGCAGGTCCTCCCGATCGTACATGAGCTTGGCCTTGGCAACGAGGTCGTTGGATAGAAAGTTCCAGTCGATGATGTTCAGCCCAACAGAGCCCATGATGCTAATCCGCCCGCCCCTCCGCAGCGCCGCGACGGCGCTAAGCAGGTGCGTTGACTGGGCCGCGCCGGGCGGTGAGAGGTCCAACACGGCATCAATGGTACCGAACGCCATTAGGGATGAGGTATCGACCTCCTTGTCCCCTGTGATGTGCACGGTCTCGATGTGCGCTGACGGTATCCCCTTCCCGATGAACGTTTTCAAGCGCGCGAGCTCCTCTTCGTTCCGGCCCATGGCGATGACTCGGGCCCCGAGAGCGGCAGCTACATGCGTGCCTGCACCACCGAAGCCGCCCGTCGCAGGACACACTACAACCGTCTCCCCTGGCTTGACGTCGATGGACCGCAGGCCGCCGAAGGGCACGGAAAGATGCCAAAGGTAGATCAGGTCGCGCGAGGAATAACCTAGGCCCCTATTTCCGTTATCACAGAGCCGGCCCTCGTCGAGTGGGATGCAGTTCTCTAGCGGAACCCTGGCAATCTCTGCATAAGTGCCATCGTGCCAGACCTCGCGGGCGAGCTTCTTGCTGCTCGCAGTCGACCCCTCGTGGATACCCCAGAGGAAAACGGCGTCGCGGTCATCGCGCCCGCGCACAACACAATCCACCCAGACGAGCTTGCCGGGTTGCAGAACCGTGGCATCTGGGCCGACGAACACCACACGGCCGACGGCGCTGCAGCCGCCTACGATGGGTGTCGAGAACGGGTAGGCTCTCGTCCCATCGTATATATCCCGCTGGTATGAAAGCACCGGGGAAGCGAGGATGCGGACTACGACGCTGCCTGGGACTGCGTCGGGCATGGCTCTCTCCTCTATGTGCAGGTCGGCACCGATGCTGTTTACCACTAAGGCGCGGTAGTTTGAGGAGGCTTTTTCGGCTGCCATGAGAAGTAGGTATTTGAGTAATGATGTGTGTTGTAAGTAGAACGAGTTGGAAGCGGGATGCGAAATGTGACGGCAGCTTCCAGAAATAACTGGGCGATCGAGTTTAACGAGAGAAAAACGATTACAGGCTTTTGAAAGCAAGAAGACCTCCCCGTTTTATAGATCATACATCGCCAGCTCAGGAACCTCAACTATCATGCTCGAACGGAGGTAGCGCTTAAGGCCGGCCCCAAGCTCGGCCATACAAGGTTCGACAGTCTTCCGGGGCCGCGCATTTGTCTCTGACCGAACATGTACTGAAATATGTGAGTTATAACAAAAAGTCGCTGTGGTGTACGGAAAACATGCATTCGAAACCCCGTTCACGCCGGGGCCGGCTCGGGGCCGCGGAGATACGGCAGCTGTGGAACTACCAGAGTACCTAGCCTCAAGTACCCAAGGCGTTCCTGAATCGGTCCCCCGTTGTGAAAATAAGGATTCCACCCCTTTCACATTGTATCATGATCTAAGTACGTGTGATTCGACGAACTATCGTTCTCGAAATAATAACCAGACAGGCAATCTAACATGTCATAGAACCAACAGCCTTTCCCTTTCAACAGAGCAACATAAGCCGGAGAAGGAATACCAGTGCTTTCCGACATCATATCGAGTCGAGAGCCATCTGTGAAATTAAAACTTATCATCCTATTACCTCTCTTTTGTTTCCAAGACTATCAGCCTCTCCGTGACCAACTATGAAGTCTCAATAGATCCGGCTTGGAAGGCTGGCACGCGTTATTAGAAGCTGGCCTGGCCACTTAAGACGGAATGCCAAGCCAAGATATCTTAAGTTAAGATACGTGCAACACCGCTGATTGATTGATGCGTTGAGGCAAATCGGATAGAGGGCTTCCAATGTCAACGACCTTGTTACGATTATCTTAACTTAGTCTTAAATTTAGTATTAGTGATATTCACGATTGCAGCTACTGTTCGGGAAATTTGCGAAGCAAACCCTTGACAGTCTAGAAAAGATTGAAAAAAAAAAAGGCATAGATAATCTTGTAAGATTGAACCGATGACGAAACTACAAGCACTACAATCTCTTATGTGAAGAACGATAAGATAAGGACACTCTGTACAATGCTGGATCCATCTGGTTTAAATCTCAACACTAATTTCAATTGTTCGTAATGAAGTACCAAAAACTACTGCCTTAGCCAACGAGTGACACTGAATTACATTGATGATAAGTGAACTAGATCGTTCTGCCTTCGATTTGTAGTGCCTGAGATGCCACCCAGTTGATGCCTAGAAAGGCTCAACCTCATCCGAATGAACTAAGCTAGACATAATAATTATGTGGAAAGAGCTACCCTTCTAAGTTTCTGGTCAATCATAAAGCCTAGTAGTAGTATGGCTTCTCAGGGTCGGTCAAGTCAAAGACTACAGACGAGTGAGGTTTGCCGCCACCACGGTTGGAGAACTCCCGGGTGAAGTCAATACTGCGGTTGAAGCTCAATGAACCATCATCCAGAACGTCGATATATAGCGCCTTGTAGTCCGATGGGGTGTTGATGACGCCAATCTCGCCGGTCTGCACGAAGTAGTCGGTGACGACCAAATGCTTCTGATCGGGGGTGAGCTTGACGTAATGCGGACCAATGGTAGGCTGCTCCTCATCCGGGTCGTCGAGGCGCTTGACATTATCCAGGTCGCTGATGTCGAGTGCTGCAATGTGATTGGCGGTTGTAAGAGTAAAGTACGCGAAACGCCCGTCCTGTGAGATGTCTGAGTAGATCGCAACGGTATCCCGGGCCTTAGGACCCAAGTCGTAGAGGACCTTGGCTACGCCCTGGTTCCCGTCGGCATCCTTGCGGAAAGGGTAGATGATCCAGACTTGACCGAGGTGCACAGCGGTAGCAATGGCCGCGCTCTCTGGATGACCTGGGATGAACTTCACATCCTGAATGCCGCCGCCCTACAGTTCATCGCGTTAGAGAGTCTGGCTCTGTTGTTCTCTGTGGTGCACCTACTTCAGGGATGGTGATAGTGCTGAGGATCTTGCGAGTGGGCAGATCCCACAATCGCAGAGTGTTGGCGCGCTGAATTCCGAGGGTTGGCTTGAGGATCGTGATAGGTACCACAAAGTCCGATGTTAGGATGATGTTGTGGTCCCAATCGACTGAGAGACCGTGGGGGCTAAACTGTTCACCGAGGATATTGAGAGTGCCCTCAACATCCTCCGGCCATTCATGGATGATGTTGAAGTCAGCATCTGTCTCAACAAGGCGTCCAGGCGAAGTTCCAACAGCAGCTATGAACTCCGATTAGCGCCAATTTACCACAAAATTAGCATATATTCATGGGGGACTTACAGCCCATGTATGTGATGAAGAAGCCGCTGATGAAGAAGTCAGTAACATAATCAATTCTGGGCTGTCTTGTTCACGTACCCGTCAGGCTTTGCACGAATCTCATCAGTGATGGAAGAAAGAATGGCTCGGTTGCTCTTCAAGAAAGCTGGACGGTAAGGGTCGCTGGTATCAAAGTAGTATGCCGTGTCTTGTGTCTTCAGAAGAGACAAAAGACCACCACCGATCAAGGTCTTGCCATCAAGGGAGGGTCCAAGATGGTGTGGATCATTGCCACTGGTGGGCACATCGGTAACCCAAAGAAGGGTACCAAAAGTATCCTATGAAACAAATGTCAGTTCCGACAGCTATCTAACAGGACATGATACCCACGTCGTCCAGGCTATAAGTTGCTAGAAAATCTAAAATTTATTAGCAAATGAATGGAACAAAGGTGAATTGACTACAAACCAGCATGCAGTTTATCTCCAGAACCGGTCCAAAAGTATCCAATTTTCTTTGGTTTGATGTCGCTTGAGGTGAAGGGCGGGCTGGCCAAAGGAGGAGTAGGGAGCTGAAGGATTGGCAATGGAGGGGCGTTGCTAGCTAGTGGCTCAGTAACCCCAGGAATGCTCGGAATCAAGGCAGGGAGAGATATCCCAAGAGATAGTACTGGTGATGCCAGTATAGAGGCTACGAGAGCCGATGACTTGATGGCATACATCTCGAAAGTCTGAGCACGTTTCTTTGAGTGGAACCAGAGCAGACTGCTTGGGAGAAATTACTTTCTGTGAGAGTGTTTGAGCAGATTTGAAATTTGTCGAAGACCTGAAGGGATCTTATATAGTCAAAAATTGATCGCCCGAATCCAGGCTCACTTCCTAATTCTCTTTGTCTCATTCTCGGGAACGCAGTGACCCGCCCAAGCTGGTGCTATCATATCATCTACAAATTGCACCATCGTGACACATTGCAGCCGCAACAAAGCCTTTCGAGTTCAAATCAGAATGATTCTCGAAATAGTGCGGCTTGTAATTGAGCTACGGCAGTTGGCAAAAACATATACTAAGACATTGAAGAAGGTGATCGACATCTCGCATACGAATATTGGCCTGCATGCTCGAGTTGGGGCTAGTCGCATGCCGAAAAGGGGTGGTTCGAATTGTGCCATCGACAGAGAGTGAAGATCGACCACCTCGCTTTCACTCTACTGTGCAGGGCTGAGGACATGGCTTTGGACCAACATAATGGGTGGATACCTCATCTTTGGAGACTATTCCGCAAGATACTCCAAGTTCCGTTGGTATTTTTGCAGGCCTGCTTGAATTCAGAGAACGACGGGTTTCAGAAAACATCAAGGTCTCTTGATGTGTCTCGCTTATTGAATTTCAGTGACATCCACCCGACTTCGTAGTAGTGAATGTGAGTGACATCGAATAATCATAATCGAGTCCCCCGAATGGAAATTTTCCAAATGGAGATGCGAGGAGCCTTGGATCGATCTACACAATCTAGACCTCAAAAGGTGTACCTGAGTGGATGATCTGTACTCCGGGACCTCTCTGTAAGTTCTACCCTAAAGGACGTCGCTACAGTGTGATTCGTGAAGTGAATAGGAAGCGACCCTTAGTGGCTGGGATCTATTGTACTTAGTGCCAAAGCGCTGGTCAACTAGCTTGTTTACATTAAGAAATATGACAAGGTTGTCAAAGAAGCTTGAATGAAATATGATGGTGCCATCAAGATATTCATTCGTTTGCGATGAAATTCGAAGTTATGATCGCCGCCAAGACATGACGTTATTTTTAGATGGATGGTGTCTTTCCTGTGCGGCTCAGCTACCACACATTCGGAATGGCGCTAATGGGGTAATTCGTGGGGGAGGTATTATATGTATAATGCCGAATGCAAATGACAGCTCCTACATGGTCCGATTCCTGGCATTTTCAGGGTTTTTTTTCTTTTTTTTTTTTTTTTTTTTTTTTTTTTTTTTTTGT